AATTCACCATTTTTTCCAGGTCATTTTGTATAAATCATAGACCAAAACAAAAAATAGATTCTGAGATGAAAAAAGAATTAGCAATAAGTAGGAAAGTAATGTGTTACATATGTTATGATCAAGTAAATCCTTATAGTATAACTGATACAATATGGGCTCCGTGTTGTAACAAAAATGCTTGGTTTCATAGAAAATGTGTTCAGGTAAAGTGATAATTTTTATAAGCATTTAAAGTTTAAATATGTAACTATATATTTATATATAAACTGCATTTCAGCAACTTGCTATGAGTGCTGGGTACTTTTTTAAATGTCCTTTATGCAATGATAAGAAATCATTTCAAAAAGCAATGCTACAATTTGGTATTTTTATTCCTAGTCAGTAAGTGAAAAATCAATTTTGTAAATTGTTTTTTATTAAAATAATAGAAAATGCTAGTTATTTTGATTTTATTTTTTTCAGAGATGCTTCTTGGGAACTCGTGCCAAATGCATTTGAAGAACTTTTATATAGGTATGATCAATGCGATGCTCCAATATGTCATTGCCCTAAAGGTAGAAAGCATACAAGTTTTAATGCGTAAGTAAAAAAAGTACCTAGTCTTATATCTTATACAGTATAATCAAAATTTGTTTTTTACTTTCATTATTTTCTAATGTGTAACAGAAAATGGGAATTAATACTTTGTCGAACTTGTGGTTCACAAGGAATCCATATGGCCTGTGGACAACTTAAATGGGCTAATCCTATTTGGGAATGTACAGAATGTATTTCTATATTAGGTCTGAAATTGAACAAACAATCAGCCTACTAATAATTTTACTAAAATATAATATACTGTTACAAAATTCTAGTTCTCTCTGTTTTATAGGTAAATCCAAGAAAAAGATTAGTTCAAATGTAACAGAAAGTATACTACAGTACGTATTATTTTTTTATAAAATAGATAAAGTTATTTAAAGATATTTAAAAATACTGATGAAATTAAATAACGATACATTTGAACATTAATTATTTAAATAGAAATAATTCTGACTTGGAAGATAGCGACAGCGATATTTCTGTCGGTAAAGATTCACCTGTATCGTTTATTTCTACACCAATTCCTGATTCTACACCATGTGTGTCTACTATTAAACAACGTCCCGGTCCACGGACATTTAAGTTAAGACAACTTAAAGCAAGTAAAGAACTTCAAAAGTTAGTATAAAGTAAATATAAAATATGATGCATTAAATGTACTGTGCTAATAAAATGCTTTTTATTGTTTACTAGTTTACAGTTAGGGAGCAGTAGTAAGCAAGAAATTGATAAAGAAGTTGATCCAGTTTTGGAATTAGAAAGTATAAATGAATGTAGCTTACAGTCTACAAGTACCGAAGAAAGTTCTATTATTGAAACAAAAAGTTTATCCATTAGTGAAACTAAAAGTAGCATAAATTCTTCAAGTGAATATTTCAAGCCTCAATCACCTGCATTAGATGATACTGACATTATACTTGATAGTGATGATGATACTACACAGGTAAATCTGAAATCTTCATAATTTAATCGAAATAAATAATGCACCGAAATATTGATGAAAATAATTATATGTACTTTCTAGATCACCAGTTGTGGTTCATTAGAGAGTACATGTAGAATTGCTACTGTTAATGAAACTGAAAAGGACGGTTTATTACAGATTAGAAATAATATAACCGAATATGAAGGAAGCAATGCATTACATAATTCTACTTCACCTATAATAAAAAAATTATTACAAACAAATAATTTCAAACCAAATAATGCTAGTAGCTTTTTAACAAATAATGTAAATGATAATTCAGTGAAATATAACTCACAATATGTGGTACAATCTGATGATTTCGAAGAAACAATAGAGTTAAACAAAAAATTTGAGAAGAGCTGCCCTGGTTCTTTTTCAAATATTAAAATTACAAACGTAGTTTCTTTAGCACCAGAGGAGTTTGAAATTGTATCATCTGGAATAAACCAGCAGAAGATCAATAATATTGAATATCAGAATAAAATGTTTGATATTAACTTAAAAAGAAAATTTGATAAAACTACATTGGATCCGCTAAATTTTTTAATAGATGAACCAAAAAAGATAAAAACCAATGACAGTATATATGAACAAAAACTAAAATCATCATATGTTTCTGTAAATGTTAAAAATACTGGTAATAATGTAAATAATGTTTCAACTTCTACATCTGATGAAAATTATTCGCAAATTAACAATAATAACGAAAAGTGCACCTCGACAAATACGTCTAATTTACAAAGTTTGAGATCGTGCACTCAATTAGAACAATGTTGTAGCAAAAATGAGAATCTGTTACCTAAATACAGAGCTAATATCAAACACTTATTCGAGGCGAATACTTTGAAGGGTACATCAAATGGTCAAATCAGTACATTATCAGAAGATGTAAACAAAAGTGATCAAACTGATGACAATATAAAAAATGTAAGTAACAAATTTTTTTTTTTTTTTTTTTTTTCAATAGAATAAGTATTTTTATATATAATGTTAAATTAACTTTCATCTATTATAATTGTTCCGAAGATATTATTTTATATGTAAAATTTAGCCCTTTAACTGTTTACGTAACAGATTTATTTCTGAAATAAAAAGGTAATAGATTTATTGTAATATTGATAGCAGGTTACAGTAGATTATGACACATGAAATTTTATTGTAACTTAAAAGTCACAGTTTAAGGGTTATGTTTAATGAGAAGTAAGGTATGGGGATGTATACATATGTATACTTATGAATTTCCCCATACCTTTTCTTCACTATACAATTTGCAATTCTAACAGTGTGACGGGGATGCAGGCACAAGTTCTGCTGCTAAATCAAGGAGTGGAAGTCTTACCAGTGACACAAAGATTAATTGCACATCAGAATTCATCAAATCAGGTGGTTTATATTCAGAATCAGAAAGATCATGTACCTCAGAACAATGGAAGTCAAAAAGCAATATTAAGAAGTAAATATTTCAGATTTTTCTGAACCACAATTTATTTTTTATAAAATTTGTTATTCATATTATAAACGTACTAATATTTGTTATAAATTATAGGACAACAATTTCAACTAATAAGACATCAAATATACAAAAAGACAAAAATACTGGATGTGATTACTCTCGATTGATACCAGAATATTTACGTTTATGTGATCTTAAGTTCCGTGTATATAACTCAAATAATTTGCAGGTAAATAATACATCTTTATGAAAAGTTGTCATTAATAATATTCTTTTATGTATTTTATGATGCATAAGTTACTTACAAATGTAATTTTTTTCGACAGATGATTTTATATAATAAGTTTTCTATAAATATTAATATAGAAAATACAGCGACAGTAGAAAAAAATACTAGGTTTGAGCCATCAGCACAAACAGGTGTTCAACAGAAATTTTCTGAAATACAAAATGAAATTTCTCTAAACTCAAAATCAGAAAATATTTTACACAATATTTCATTTCTTTGTAATAAAGATAAATCCAAATGTATGCTCTCTAATGAGCAGTCCAAAACTTATCATGATGACACGAAGGAAAATATGAATCCAGTAATAACAGTTCCTTGTAAAAATATAACAGATAGTTTACTTAGCAATGCAAATTTAGCTACACATAATTTGACAGTTTCTATAAATAGTAGTAATCAAAACGATGACAGGGATACAACGCAATGTATACATAATGCTCCTAAAGTAATTGAAGAAAATAATAAAGAAAGCAGTGAAGAAAACGATAATTTAATTAACGACTTTGACAATATTTTTGATGCTTTTACAAATTCTAACAACAAATACGTGAAAAGTATTAACAATGTAACACGAAGTATTCAAAACTTAACTTCCAGTTGTGTAAAAAGTGCTATAACTAAAAAGAACAATTATTTTTATAATTCCACGAAACTTGTTCGACATGCTTTATTTCCGGAAAATCGTACAAATTGTAAACCAGGGAATAAAGCGAAAAGTATATCTGCAGCACAGTTTAAAGTAAGTATCGATCTAAAAAAGGTAGAAAAATTTATTGATAATAATCCAAATTTATTTTCAAAATATAAAAAAGAAAATGAACAATGTTTTAAAGAACAAAATAGTATAACAGAACGAATTAATTTATTAAACATGTAAATAAAAAAAATTTTACGATATTTTTTATTGTAAGTAAAATTGCAAAATAATGGAATTTCAAAAAGAAAATTTATGAAGGAAAAGTTAAAAATATAATGGCTGTAGAATCATTCATTTATTAGATCATAAAAAAACGGGATAACAGTTGTTAGCAATCAATTGCTAAAATAATTTTATAAAATGTATTTTAAGTCTTACAAAAGTATTCATTTTAAGAGAATGCACCCGTAGAACTGGTACATTTATTATTTGTATATACATATATTCATGTATCATTATTATATGATATATCGAAAATTTTAATAACACTAAAACAGAATCTGTAAATTTTGTAAAAATATATATTTACGAATGTATACATGCATATAATATAATTAACTCATATTATTGCTATATTTTAACTGGCTTGAAAATCTTGGTATTTAGTTATTATATTTTTTTCAGCTTTTAGTATAAAGTAAATCCTGTATATCAGTTTCAGTTTTAACTGTCTATGCATTCCTATAATTTGAAGATAATAAAATTTTCATTATGCGCCATATTGCATGTACAATAAAGTATATTGTAAAGTAATGGAACGAATGTTGTGTTTGAAACAGTATTATTTTGATTTAAAAATCAGTAAAAGGCTGACACATTCACGATGAATTATTTATTTCTGTATTTTTATGGTATGAAGTGTATTTTTTTATTTACAGTTTTTTATTCGCTTTCATTTAAATAACGTAAAATCAATCTTTAAATTTTTGTTTCATAATGAATTTAAAAACATACTTCTATTATTATTTATAATAATAAGTGAAAATAAATACATTTAAGATGCAAAAGTTTAAAACATTGAAATGAATATATATATATATATATGATACTATAAATTATCTATTCAAAGTATATTATTTAAATAAAATTTTATCACATTAAGTAACTCAATGTCAGTTATACAAAATTTCAATAGCTACGACCGAAAAGTGTATAAGACTTCGGCTTATTTTGACAATCAGGATGAATACATTTTTGTTTATGAAGTGGTACTGATGAGGTCGGTTGTTCAAATGGTATACAAAGACTTTTTGCACCCATTGATAACATTCCAGGTTCCTCTCCCGCGTCCTCTCTATAACAATAAAATAATATATTTTATATTATACAAAAACATACCAACTTCAATTATTAACACTGAAATTTATTTTAACAATATTTACCGTGCGCTATCAGCTTTAATTTTATCTTCACAAGATGATTCCCCACAAAAGGGTGATAACAGTAAATTCTTTTTATTAAGTTCAACGCAAAATTCGTTCCAATTATCTGCACGTTTGATGTGTTCATTTAATTCCTTTCTTGCTCTATTAAAAATAACATTATTCATGTATAACAGTGAATTAAATAAAATGCGTTATAACAAGTCGATAACACTTACTTAGTAAGCATACTTGATTGTATGTTATCCAATAATGTATATAAAGCGTTAAGTACTTCAGATCTGTTTGCAAGTATTCTTTCAGAATTATCTCTGCGTACAAATGTAACCTGATTTTTTTCTAAATCTTTTGGACCTAATTCAATTCGTACAGGTACACCTTTCAATTCCCAATGGTTAAATTTCCAACCTGGAGTGCGATTACTGCGGTAATCAGCTTTAACTCTAAGCTTTTTATCTCTTGATAGTTCATCCAATAATTTGTCACATTCAGTGAATAAAAATTCTCTCTGTTGAGATGTCGTGTTTGCTGTAATACCACAAGGTACTATGATAGCCTGAATACAAGCTACATTTGGTGGCAATACCAAACCTTTGTCGTCTCCATGAACCTACAAATAAAATGTGAAGTTATTTTATTTAAAAATATTTTTCCATCCAAACAAGAAAAGAAAACATATGTATACCATTATCATAACTCCAATTGTTCGAGTTGTTAAGCCCCATGAATTTTGATAAACGAATGTTTTCTCATCTCCTTCTGTAGCACCTTCTATTTGAATATTAAACATCTTAGAAAAATTTTGTCCAAGATGGTGACTTGTTGCTCCTTGTATCGCACGACCACTCATCGAAATGAAAGCCTCAACTGTGGTAGTATAATCACCACCAGCAAATTTCTCTTTTTCAGTTTTTCGGCCTTTTATAACAGGTATTGCTAATAAATGTTCGTACACCTTAGCATATACATCTAAAATTACAAGAACTTCTTCATCAGCTTCAGCTTTGGTAGCAAAAGCACTATGTCCTTCTTGCCATAAAAACTCTCTTGTACGTAAGAAAGGTTTAGGATCTTTAAACTCCCATCTCTGTAACAACATAATACAAATATATGTATTGATTATTTAAGCATAATTAAGTCTAGTTTCTTAATACGACAATAAATTATATTTACCACTACATTATTCCACTGATTAAGTCTTAAAGGAAGTTCAGTATCAGATCTTAGCCATTTGGCATAAGCAGGATACATTACAGTTTCTGATGTTGGACGTATAGCAATGGGTTCTGCTAAATCTGATTCACCACATTTTGTAACCCATGCAACTTCAGGTGCAAAATCAGCTATATGTGCTTTTTCTTTCTCCAACACTGATCGTGTGACAAACATAGGAAAATAACATTCTTGAACCCCTAGTTTTGTTATTTCTGCATCAATATATCCTTTAATTATTTTCCAAACGGAAAAACTCCATGGGCGAAAAATGTAACACCCTGATACATCGTAATATTCTATCATTCCGCTCTTGGTAATAAGTTGAGAATACCATTCAAAGAAATTTTCTGCCTTCTTTGCCTCTAACCCTAATCTGGTTCCAGTTTTTGAAGTATCTGTATCTTTTGTACTTTCATTTTTACTTATTTCCTTGTTTGGAGTACCTTTTTGTTTTTCAGTTTTAGAAATATTTTCTTGTTTCTTCTTTTTAGTCGATGTATCAGGTTTTACTGATTTCCATTCTTGACCAGTTAATGTCTTATAGTCATTTTTTAAATCAAAAAGTATTTTTACTTCTTGATCAATAATGTTTTTCTCCGCTTTTGATTCATTTAATTGCCTTACTTTATCCTCTTGCTTCTGTATGCTTTCCAAAATTTGATTAACACGAATTTCTTCTTTGTTTGATGCGTTAGCTACTGGTGTGTTAAATGGTTTCCAATCCTTTCCAGTTGCAGTTTTGTAATCAGCTTTCAACGTCAAAAGTAATTTTACCTCTTGATCAATAATAGGTTTTTCTGCTTTCGTAGCTTTTAACTGCCTTATTTTATCCCCTTGTTTCTGTATTTCTTCAGCTATTTTTTCGTGATCGGTCATTTTATTAATTACATTATCGCATGCTTTACTGGGTGTTTTTGATGTACTGGTACTAGATTGTTTCCAATCCTGACCAGTTATAGATTTATAATCTCCTTTTAAAGTTAAAAGTTTCTTTATTTCTACATCGATAATACTTTTGTCTACTTGTGATTTCTTCAATTCTCTTACTTTATCACCTTGTTTTTTAATTTCGTTAGATAACTTTTCGGCATGTGAATCTGGCAACTTACCATTTTGTGCTATATTTTCATTTGCTCCTGACCAATCACTACCTATTTTATTTTTATAACTTGTTTTTAAATTTGAAAGATATTGCATCTCCTGGTTTATCTTTGCTTGTAATTCTTTAATTTTCTTTTCTTGTTGTATAATATCCTCAGATAATTTATTTTTATCAGAAGGTGCTATTTTATCTGATTTATCTGGAATCATTCCTGGTTTCCATTCTACTCCAGTGTACGCTTTATATTCAGCTTTTAAATTTAAAAGTACTTTTACTTCTGCATCTATTACTGTTTTATCTGCTTTCTGGGATTTTAGAGAACGTACTTTATCACCTTGAGCAATAATTTTTTCACTGATTACGTTTGCATCTTGTACTTCAAGCTGAGACACCTAAGTAACAATAATAATACATTAATCTAATAATTGAATAATCGAATGCGAAAGCATAAAATATGACATACATTTTTCTGAGTAGTTTCTTTAACAGCAGTTTTTGCTGAGCTTATCGTATGTCCATCTGGTACATGGAATAAAATTAAGGGCTGTTCTTTGGAAGAAAATGGACTTGCCGAAGCATAAGGGACATCGCAACGGAAAAAACCTTTTCGTTGTAACTGAATTATTTCTCCTTTTTTTACTCGTTTTAACTCCACCTCTCCAAGCATTTGTACCTCGACCTGAAATATTTATTAATTTCATAATACTTATTTCTGGTAATTATTTAAAAATTGAAATCTTACTCTTGTATCTTTTGCAATGAAATTTTTGAAGTCATCGTCTTTTCCTAACACTGGTTTACGTATTATGTGTTCAAAGTAAACAGCATAACACGGGATTAAATTAGTTTTACTGTCGTCATCATCTTTATTAGAAGGTACTGCTAGCCATGTGATTTTCAATGTATTTTTATAGTCTTTATTTTCTAAATTCAATTGCGCTATTATTCGCTTAACAACACCATTTTCTTTTTCAACTTTTTGTATCAATATATTGCCCCAATTAATAAAAGTAGCATTTTGACCTTCGACCAACACGTCTGCATCATCTCTTTCTATATATAGGTGCGAACTTGTTAATACTTGTTTATTGCCTCTTGATGGATCTTTTGGATGATTTTGAACCGTTAGCCATTCTTCTTTTACATTATTTATATGTACCGATACAAGCTTATCAAAATCCAAAGCAGTATACCTAAAAATATAGTGTTACATAAATAATTTCGATGAATATTTTTATATAAACAATTATCCATATACCTAGTGGCAATCGGGTCAATGACCTTTTTGTTAAATGACCATATTTTATCCCATTCCATAAAAACGACAGATCTTGAACTACCTTGAGCAATGATAAATTGCTTTAATCCTTCAACAGTCATTCCCCTTCTCAAAATACCTCTTACTGTTGGAAAACGTGGATCATCCCATCCATCAACCAAACCTTCATTAACAAACCAAGTTAATTTTCTTTTAGATAAAACTGTGTTAGTCATATTTAAACGGGAGTATTCCCATATATAAGGACGCCTCAATCCTAAAGCATCAATTATCCAATAAAACTGAACATCTCTGTCATGGTATTCTGTTGTACGTAATGTATGAGTGATGTTTTCAACAGCATCAACAATGGGGCAAGCAAAATCATAGGTTGGATAAACCCTATTGAGAAATGAATACAGTGAATTAGTGACTGTTGATAATAGTTAAAGATCTTACCAAATGAGTTAAAATTCTTGAATGTGTAATAGATACTTGTATTTTGTTCCAGTTCGAGGATGCGGCTCTGGTTTGCATCTATAAATTGTTGGATCTCTTAAACAACCATTTGCTGACTGATAATCAATTTTTGCTCTAACACAGCATTCCTGACCTTTGGGAGAACCTTGTTGCATTTCATTCCATAGCTTAAGATTCTTTTCCACGGCTGAATAAAATAAAGATAAGCATTTCAAATAAACAAAGTTCTCGTTTTGGTTTTTCTATTTAACTCACTAAATGTTTATACATACAATTGTTTCTATTCACTGACATCAATTTTTGATCGCGTTGTTCTTTCATAATATGAGCAGGAGTATCATCTACATATGCTTTATTTTCTATTAATAATTTAGTACAATATTCTAGCATCAAATCAAAATAATCTGAAGAATGTGTAAATCTGTCTGGTTTGATTTGTAATAACTCCAAATCTTCTAAAATAGCTTTCTCAAATTCTACATTTTCTTTTGCAGGATTTGTATCATCAAATCTCATAATAAGCTGTCCTTGAAATGCTTCTGCATAATACTGATTTAACAGAGCTGCCTTAGCATGACCAATATGTAAATATCCACTTGCCTCTGGTGGAAAACGCACTATAACCTAGCATACACACTACGCATAAGCATACATCAGACGAAAAAGTATGCTTTGAAAAATAAAGTTATTATTATAAATTACTCACTTTACCCATTTCTGCTCCAGGCAAATCAATAAATTTACCTTCTTGCTTTCTTTGTCCACTTTGCTTATTAACAACAACTTTTTCAGATTGTACAGGTAATTTAGCATTCTTTTTAACTGATAATAATACCTGTGCAATAACAGGCAATGAAAGCATTTGTTTATACCATCTAGTTATATTAATAAACTGTTTTTCGAACTTTGGTAAAAATTCCTTGTCCAAAAGAGCACAAAATACATGGATATCAGCTAATGTTAACTTTTTGGACACCAACCACGTGGTGGTCATTAATACATCATCCAGATATTGCAGTGCACTCTTTTTCAATGGAACAAATCCCAAAGGTCCAATTGCAAAAGAGAGCCAATGGTCAACTTCAGTCTTTTCACAAGGACTAGTACCACCTAAGTTAAAGATAATATAAAAAAAAGAGAAAAAAATATGATAAATCATTATGTAATAAATATGCACAGACATATATATGTAAGAGTGTATACTTACCATAAAGTTGTATGTATGAAGTTCTAGCAAAGTAACGGCTAATATCATTACTCCATTCTCCTAACACTTTATTATCATCATCTATCAATTGAACGTTTCCATCACCTTTCCAATCATTGCACCAAACTATTTCAATCTTGTCCTTCTTTTGAGAATTAATAACTTCTGCCACTATCAGGGCTTCTATATTAATTAAAGATATATCTTTTAATATTATTATATAAAAAATATTTTTGTGTCCTTTCAACATCTGTTATTTCTTTTAAAACCGTTGAAGTTACAGTTTTTTTAATTTTAAATATCCCACAACTTACCCGTTGATGGATTTTTGGAATGAAGCAGAAGTTTGAAATTCATTTTTTATATTAAATGTTAATTTAAGTAGAAATATATTTATATATCCACTTTACAGGTTAAACTTCCTCTTCCACGTGCACAATGATGCTCGTGCCCGCTTATGAAAGTATAGGTGAACTTTCTTACACATACATATATCACCTATCTATATAAATATATGATGAAACTGATTATTTAATTTCATTAAAAAATGGTATCTCGATATGTACAATTTACCAAAATATAAATATTAAAGTATTTATACAGATTAAAAGGAATTAAAAAGGATTAAACGGATAAAGAAATTATGTTATGATTTCTATTTTTTTTTTTTTTTTTTTTTAATATTTTACAATCTCAAATAGTTAACGCTTCAATATTTTTGTTAAGTAGTGTACATACAACAATGTGTAAAACAGTCGCACAGTATATGTATACAAGCGATTTTTAATAAAATAAATAAAACACTCATATATTCATAGCAATAGTTGCTTTTAATGTCATCTTTTTTTTGTAGTTATTTTCATCTTCTTTTGACTGGATTAATAGCAGTGATAATGTGGATTCCGTTTTTAATAATCTGTAGTAAGAAGCATATAGCACTAGATTTTTGCATATGCAGGTGTATGAATCAATGAATCTGCATATAAAAAGTAGATTGATTGATTCATTTAAAATTTTTGCGCGTTTTTGATAATTTTTAATATATTTTCAACGATATTTCAGTCAATGTAGATTATTCTTTTTTTTTTTTTATTTTAATAATCTGCATCTGTGTATGTATGTACATAATACCCGGGGTATACAACAATATATAACAGAAGTATACGCAAAGGTGGGTCGGTCACCTGGAGATAACTGTAAAATGTCATCAACGAATGTGTGTCAGGCATGGATTTGACGCTGTTCGGTGATAGTCTTGGGATCTGCTGTCACAGTAATTATGTTCTATCAATGTTAACTTGATCTAAAAGTAGCTATCTTAATATAAAACATTCCGCTACTTAACTTAAATGTACGTAATACAGTTTTTATTTAAATAAAACGTTTGCACTTTGTTAGTGTAGTGAGCACTATTTTTTTTTATTATGCATCGGAACTTCGTATGGTGTATTTTAAATCTTCAAAATATTTATCATTTTAAATAATTTAACAATATTAATTATTTCTTGTGTGATGATGTACCAATTATTTCAAGTGATGAAGAAAAATAATGTTACATTATATTAATATCTTGGTTGAAAATAAAAAGGTTGAAATATTAAAATTTAATTTATAATTTTTAAATAAAGAATACAGAATTATAATCACTACATTAATTACATATTCAAATTTTCAATACATTTTGTTAAAATTTAAAAAAAAATAATATTTGAAGCAGTTATCTATCAACAATTTTTATATTACATCAGTTACCTTGAATGTTGTTAATTTATTAATATATTTATTAATTACAGATAAACCAGTTAATAATGGAGGGACCAGAAGTAACATTTTTATTTCAATTTGGTTTAATTCGTGACACTATTACAGTTGAAAGCAGTTCGTTAACTCTTAAAACTCTAAAAGAATTTGCTTGCGATTTTATAAATAATAAGTGTCCTGAGCATGGTTTAAATCACTTGTTTGAACGATTGCTTTTATTTAAGCATGATTATAATTCTACTAATATCTTACAACTTATTACAAATGCAACAGAAGTTGTTGATGAAACCTTAGTGGAAATTGTTCTAACTGGTAAATTATTGGGCTTATATGTATAATAGCATAAAATCAATAAAACAGTTTGAAAAATAAATAACTATTATGTTTTTTATAGCACAAGTGCCAAATGAAGAAGTTCCCATTCGTCCCCATGCTTTAACAGTTCATTCGTATAAAGTTCCAACATTTTGTGATTTTTGTGGAGAGATGTTGTTTGGTCTTGTTCGACAAGGTCTAAAATGTGAAGGTAAATATAATGTATGAAACTGTTATGATAGTAATTAAGTGACAAATAGTAATACATTAACATTGCTTTATAGGTTGTGGAATGAATTATCATAAAAGATGTGTTATTAAAGTACCCAATAATTGCTCACACGATGTCAGTCAAAGAAGACGTAGTTCAACGATGCTAAATGTACCAAGATCTCCGAGTCAAGGATCCACTAGTAGTTTGACCAGCATTAGCGATGATAATCATAGTACAAATAATACACCGAATGCAAGTCAAAATAATAGTACTTTGGTAGGATTTTAGATATCTGTAAATCATTTATTTATATGGCTTTTAAAACTTTTGTAATAATTTTATATTTTTAGACAATACCAAGCATAGTAGCTCCAAAACAATCTCGTTCTCCTTCCCTGGGTGGAAGGCCAGTTTGGGTCGAGCGAGAACTTGCAACACGTATAAAAATTCCGCATACGTTTGTAGTACATACTTATACCAGGCCAACCGTATGTGGATATTGTAAAAAATTATTACGTGGTTTATTTAAGCAAGGCCTACAGTGCAAAGATTGTCAATATAATGCGCATAAGAAATGTATTGAAAAAATACCTAAAGACTGTACTGGAGAAAATCCGCGAGACAATACAGGTACCAGAAAACAATTTCTTCATTTACATTTTATTACCTACATTTATGAATATTCCATAAATATTTGTATGTAGGGAGTGAATATCCTGATAGTGGTGTTGGTAGTGAACCAGAAGGAAAATGCGACGGCAGAAATGAAGAAGGCGATGGCGACAGTGATGTTGAATCTCCATCACCCCCTCAACATTCATCATTTGCAACAGATGAAACAAAAGCATCAGAGGAGTATACTGTAAAATTATTTGTTACGATTAAGATATATACTAAATAAACAAACATTTTCAATATTGTAATTAATACCTATTCGTTTTGTCAAATATTTGATAATAACATAAATAATATTTATAGGATCAAGTTCCAAGTAATGATGATGTTATTTGTGATGAATTTCAAAAATCGAGACCATCAAGGTAAATTAATGTTTTGTTAGTAATAACCTATATAAATATATATATATATGTCATTTATATTATTATTGCACTAGTTGCAGCTCTACCCCAAGCAATAATATTCCTCTAATGCGTATAGTGCAAAGCGTTAAACACACAAAACGACGTGGTTCAAAAGTTCTAAAGGAGGGTTGGATGGTACATTTTACAAGTCGTGATCCAGTGGTAAAAATTCAGCCTACAAGTATATGTATACATAAGCGCATACCTAAATACTATATTTAAGTTTAAAATTGAATTTAATAATTTACAGAGGAGAAAACATTATTGGCGGCTTGATACAAAGGCTATAACATTATTTCAAAGTGAAAGTAGTTCCAAATATTACAAAGAAATTCCATTAGTTGAGATACTGTCTATCGAAACTGCTACGACATCTCGTTCGCGTATGTATTCAATGTTATAACAATTATGTTCTATCAGAAAGTATTACAGATATTTTGAATTTATTTTGTTTCAGAAACAATGCATTGTTTTGAGTTAAAAACTGCCAATATGGATTATTATGTTGGAGAAGATTCTTCATATGGAGATAATTGTAGCCAAGTTCCTGCACCAGAAAGTGGTATAGGAGCACACGTAGCCAGATCGTGGGAAACAAGTATTAGACAAGCACTTATGCCAGTAACTACTGTATCAGCTAGTAAGTATCTTTTTGTTTTAATTCCAAGTACATACGTGAATTTGTTATCCGCAACTGTTATGAATTGCTTATATTAGATCAAGAACAATCCACAGAACCTGAAGAAAATGTTACAGATATGTCTCAGTTGTATGAGATCTTTCCAGATGAAGTTTTGGGTTCTGGTCAATTTGGTACAGTATATGGAGGTATTCATCGTAAAAGTGGTCGAGCGGTTGCCATAAAAGTTATTGATAAGTTACGTTTTCCTACGAAGCAAGAAGCACAACTTAAAAATGAAGTTGCTATTTTACAAAATCTCTCTCATAGCGGAGTTGTTAACTTAGAACGAATGTTCGAAACTCCAGAACGAATATTTGTAGTTATGGAAAAGTTAAAGGGTGACATGCTGGAAATGATATTAAGTTCAGAGCGTGGTCGTCTCAGTGAACGAATAACTAAATTCCTAATTACACAGATATTAGTAGCGTTAAAACATTTACATAGCAAAAACATAGTACATTGCGATTTAAAACCTGAAAACGTGTTGTTAAGTAGCGACAGCGAATTTACACAAGTAAAATTATGTGATTTTGGATTTGCTAGAATCATAGGAGAGAAAAGCTTTAGAAGAAGTGTTGTAGGTACTCCAGCATATCTAGCACCCGAAGTTTTAAGAAATAAAGGTTATAATCGGTCTCTAGATATGTGGAGTGTTGGTGTAATTATTTATGTATCTTTAAGCGGTACATTTCCTTTCAATGAGGAAGAAGACATTAATGAACAAATACAAAATGCTGCTTTTATGTATCCGCCAGTTCCTTGGCAAGAAATCTCATCTGATGGTATGTAATCTTATCCAAATGAAATGCGTTTATTTAATACTAGCAATACGAGTTATTACAATTAATTATTCTATTACAGCTATTGATTTAATTAATAATTTACTACAAGTAAAGCAGAGAAAACGTTTCACTGTAGATAAGAGTTTACAACACGTGTGGCTCCAGGTAAGGGTTTACAAAATTATTCATAATTAATGGATATTAATATTATGTTGATTTTTATTAAATGTGGTTTTCTCTTTTTAGGATTATCAAACATGGTGCGATTTACGAGAATTAGAAGCAAAAGTGGGATATCGTTATTTGACCCATGAAAGTGATGATGCTCGGTGGCTAGCATATAGTAATCAACACACATGACAGACCACCCCGCCTACATTGAACATCGAAACATTGCCAAATAATTTGTCGATACACAAAGGTTGGGCTCGTAGTGCTCGAGCTACGCTGCGACGTTTTATTCGTGCCTGATTTGAACACATTTATGAAAGGAAGTACAATTCTATCTTTCATTGTAGATATAAAGAAATTCATTAATACGATATCAATAAGCGTATCTTCCAAAACGTTTTACTTAGAGAATAAGAATTTTACTTAATGATATTTGATTAGACTGCAATATATACATATATTATTAAACTTTCAATAGAATATGAAAGTTCTTGAGAAATTTTAATAATCAATTTGAACATGTTTTAATACAGTAAGATACTTTCAATACGGTTTCACTAACATTAAGATATTATGAAAAATATTTCAGGAAATAATAGATATAGTACAATCGTGACATTTCTAATAAGTAGTTTTTTTTTTACTACGAGATAAGTAATTGTTTCGTGTTGTTCTATTATTTCAATATCACTTACATAATTGTTTCATACGTAATTTATAAATGCTAATCTCTTAATATAAACACGTTCTTCAGCTTGATATAGCAAAATCCAATAATTCCAATAATTAAATTTAAATAGAAACATAACGATATGTATAAACGTATATATTTATAGTATATATAATACATTTTTTGGCATCTTTTGAAACTAATGACAAGATTAAGATTATTATAGTAACTTGCACAGAACTTAATAGATTAGATCAGTATTTACATAATGCAATGCCATACAAAAGTTAATATTTCACTTGTTTCTTTAATATACCCAAATTCAGAACTTAAAGGCTTCAATATTAAAAATAAACATACAATTTTTCAAGAACTTAAATTTGTTTATAAATATACAAAGAAGAATAAGTTTTGAATTATTAATTTTCACTTGGTCATCAACAAAAATTAATAATCAATTAATTGTATTTCAAATAATTAAAAATGTGTAACCACAAATATTTACTATTGTGATAAATTTTGTATTGAAAGTAGGAAACAAAATGTTAAAATTATTCTATCATCACTACACATGAAACATTCTATTCCATTACCAAATAATGTTATTCTCTTTTTTTCTTTTGCTTTTTGTTTCATTATTCCACTGAAGAAACAACATTCCATAGTCAATCTATTTAGAAAAAAAAAACTACTTTAGTTATATGTTTTATTTGTTTAGGCAATGTATTCATTCCAATTACTATATCGAATTATTAATTGTCATTCAAGGCGTTCATTATAAATTTAAGATTTTTTCTGCAGTGTGATCATTAGAATTTGTTAGTTCATGTTATAGAAAATAATAGTTTATTAACTATGATATTAAAAATAACTTTTTACTCTTTTTTACTGCTTCTGAATTATTGCAATTACTATTGTTAAATTATAATGATAGTAAAAATTATGAAAATAATTTATCTCAAACTTATAAAGACTGAGTTGCTTTTGAATAGTGATGATTGACATGATGTCTTTACTAAAAAATATATGTATAAACGTTTCAAATTGAAAAATGTTTTATGATATTATTTCTTTTGTATCTCCTGAAAGTATTTTATGAATAAGAGGAGTTGTTTCAGTTATCATTAATGATGCCAATTAATTAATTGAATCTCACATATTTTACATACATTATTCATATGTCATTTATTTAACATTTTTAATTGCAAGCTATTTAATTTTATCTTAAGTATTTAATTAATGTAATATTGAATAAAATTATAACACATAATATGGGGCCTATATTTTAAAAAATGTATCTACTTAAATTATCTTAATTATAATTTATTATGTTCTTAATTATAAATGTTTTATTATGTGTTATAATAAAGTAGAACAGTCAATATTACTGATATAATAAATCCAGATGCAAAAAATTTGTGCAATGTCAATAATCATTGTTACAGTTAGAGCATTTTACGTGTATGTTTGCAGCACTAATGTAATATGTAACATGTTTTTACATTTTACTTACAAAATATATTGATTGTATCATTCCAAGTATGTGTAATTGATACAAGGGGAGCTATTTGTACATATTCTGTATGTTTTAAAAGTTTGTATTACTTAAAAAAGATTTTAAGCTTTATAAAAGAGCATTCAATTTTATAAGAACAATGTGTTTTATTTATACTAAAATTTTGTTTTTCATAGCTAGATAACTGAACAAGAAGTACTTACTTGAAAGACAAAATAAATTGTAACAGGTAGATGTTAAGCAAAACTAACAGATTTTCATAAAAATATTAAAATGTTAAATTATTATCTTAACTGTTATGATAATGTGAATAAATGAACGATCAGTGATAATGATGTTTTATAACATTTTGTCCCTATTGCTAAAACATACATAATTTGAAATTTTTCATTTATATCATCAAATATTCTATATTTTCAAAATTAGATGCAAAATAATAATATACAAAATTTGGCATATCAGACTTTAAACAAGACAGTAGTGAATTAATATTGTTGCTGTATAATCTTTGCCCTCATTAAGCCTAGCAGAACTACTTGAAATAATAACATCCTGCACAGTGTCACGCTACATGTTCAAGCACCTTTACAGTTAGTCTCTTTCTAGAGTTTAAATCAAGTTCATGATATCAATTCATTTACGCAATAAACATTGTTATAATTGTTCATTACATATATATGTATGTTTTATAAATATATTGTTATAAAAAAGTATAGTGTTTAATTACATAAAATGTTTGTAATAAGTATGATACTATTCAAGATATTTTTGCTGAAATTCAATTTGGCAGAATGGATTGATATGCCTGAATTTTCTGATGAAACAAAAGTGTACAGGTAAGAACAAAATCATTATTAATTTATATTTTATTAATATATATTAACATTCTTCATTTTTTATATATAGAATATCTACACCAAAACAAGATCACTTTCATAAGTTTACTAAACAAACTACAGAAGACCAGTTTTTGCACGCATATCAAAATGTTACTTATAAAGATATACAAATAGAGCAAACTACAAATAATGACGATATTGAACACGTTTTTCATAAAATAAAAGGTACTATTATTGAACCCATGATTCAAACACCTTCCAAGAAAGAAGAAAACGTACAGTTAGATGAAGCAATAATTCCTTTAATCAAGGTAAACAAAACTTTCTGGCAATTAATTTTAAGTTATTTAGCATTGTTTTCTGTTTTCTGTTTTTCAGGAACAAAAATTAAAGAAAGAGTACTTCAATGAATCTTTGATTTCTACTAATGAAGAAATTTTTCAATATCTACCAATGGATACACTTAAAAGTGTTCATCAAACTTTAAAATTACAGCTTACATCGAGTGAAGGAAAAATTCAATTTTTAAAAATGTTTGAAAATACATTAATCGCTGAAATAGGTAATGATAACAAACTAATATTTAAACAACAAAAATTTATTAGTGTTCGTGACATGTAAATGTGTCACATTTATATGTATTTAATCTGTTTAGAATCTCAACTCACACAAGCTATAATAGCTGGTCGACAGAAAAGAGGTGTTGAACACTATGATCACGGTTATGATAATGATCATGCTGCAGGATTTCCTTCCATAGAAGGTGCACTGATGGCTATTTCATTTCTTACATTTGCAGTATATCTTATTAGATTAGTCATGGTAATTTATCACGTATTTTACTATATCATTATCAGCGATAATAATTAATATTTATTTTTTTACGTAATAATTCTTTCCAGCTTTTATTTAGGAATATAAATAATTCTGTGCCGACTACTACAGGTGCAACTTTGCTTCTTGGAAGAAGAAAACGATCTATGAACAAATTTGACGATGATCTAGTTATGATATTTAAAAACATAGATAATTTTTCCTTCAGATCTTAATTAATTTATATCATAATATAGTATTAAGTTATTTCTGTAATATAAAATTAGTTAAGAAAAAGTAATTATGTTGAAATTGTCCCAAGTAAAGGAACCCTTTGTTTATCCAATTTTAATTCATTTTAGTACATATTCTAAAAGTTTTATTCTACATAGTTTATACTTATAATTTAGCTGCTACAGGTGATGGTAATATCGATAATAATATTATGTTACGATACGAACCAGGTGGTCTTTGTAATGAAAGGTCTTGTAATTGTGTAAGAATTAGTGCTAATTGAATTTTATCAACGTGGTACATATTTTTTTCTTCAGATGACACCAGAATACCTTGTAACAGGAGATTGGATATTGTTGTATTAACTAAATCAAGTGATAAAGAATATGGATGCTGTCCCCATTCTTTGTTTTTAAGAAATGCTTCTTCTACTTGTTTTTGTGTTTCAATTAAAATTGCTTGTACTGTTACTTGATTTAATTTCAATTCATCCCACTGTAATACAAAAAAGTGTATATTTAAAAGTTCCTTAAAAATGCTATGACAAAATAATATTAACAGTTTTTAGTTTTACCTCAAATAAAACAAGACATGTAACATATACTGTATCTATAAATGGCAGTATTACATTGTACAAAAGAGAAAATATTTTAGTATTATTTCTCTGTATGTATGTACCATTTTGAATAGTTATGCAATTTTGAATTAACAATAAATTTAACGTTTCTTCCCATTCTGATTTCATCGCAGACTCATCTTCTATTAAAGGCATTGCAAATTCTGTACTTAATAATGTCCTCAGTAATACATATCGTTTAAAAGCAACTCCTGCATGTAAGGCAATAGTATAAAAAATGATTGATTTGCTATCCTAAATATATAAATAATAAATGAACTAAATTATTTCAACATTACCAAGCTTAATCTTATCCATTCCTACTGCTATTGTGACAATGGCTGGTTTGATTAAAAATGACAAGGTAGGATTTAAATAAATTGAAATGTTAATAACTGGTACTGCTATTCTCATAGTTGTTTCTGATAACATATGTCCTTTGACACATATATTGCTTGTCAGCTTTGTTGTTTTATGTCTTTTTTTAAGTCTTAAAACTTTTAATGTATCAAATACAAGTAATTCTTCATGAGGCTTCAAGGTATCTAATATTTCTTGTTTCACATCGCTTGCTTCAACTGACCTACATAAAATTGTTTCTACAACAAATGTGATACTAAAATACTCCTTTTTAGAACTTACCTCCCTACATGTACCGTTGTGTTGAATGTATGCATAAGATTTTTACACCATAAATAATCATTAACTAAACTATCTAACGTGTATGGATCATCTGGATACATTTGAGCTCTTTCATTAAACAATAAGGCAATTAAATTGAAAGGCATAAGAATTGTATGTTTTTTATGCGAATCTATTATACAGTAGGCCAATTTCTTAGTAACAGCTGTCGGCAACTTTGCATAAGGTGATAATATTTTTGCTTTACGATGTTCCATACTTAAAAACTGACATGCAGAAATAGGTTCACCAATGTTAAAAACAACACAACCATAAGCGTATGATTTTTGTAAAATAGACAGAGACTGAAGAAGGCCAGCTGTAGATTCTTTTGGTTTTGGCACTCCTAAAAGTTCGTATACAAATAATAATTCCTCTGGTGGTCGCTCATAATTAATGCTTATAGGTATAAAATGTATATCAGGTACACTGCCTTCTAATAAAGTTTCTAAAATGATTGATAAAAGACCTATAAATAAGATCATTTTTATATTATGTTTCATTGCAGAGTAATTATAATAAAATTTAAATTCTTACATACCAAACTTTGGTGCTATGCTCTTCAAACTTCTACTTCGAGTACCTTCGATAAAGCATTCAATTGCTCGGTCACTATGCTTTACTAATGACATAACATATGTACCAAATATTCTTTTGTATAATAAATCATTGGCAAAGCTACGCCGCATATAAAATGCACCTGTTTTTCTTAGTAATTCTCCTATTATGTACATATGATAAAAGTCCATTCCACTTGCAATATTTGGAAGTGCCATATCATAAGAAAATAAGATATATGATAATAATATAAAATCTAAATAACTTCTGTGAGATGGTACATAAACATATTGTACTTGAGAAATTTGCATTTCCTTTTTCAATTTATGTATCGCATTTTCACTTATGTAAATACTTGAGAAGATTCTTTTAAGGACTTTTGTAATGATTATACCTGACACATAAAATTCACTTATAATTTAAACGAATAACAAATAAGAAATATAATTTAAATTAAAAGAAATGAAATTTACCAATCCAACGAACAGTGGCTAAGTGCGCTTTACTAGCCATTTCATTTATTATTATATATGCTTCTTTTGCAACTTTCTTTACATCTACATTATGTACTGCACCCAAAGAGATGATGGCCAGTTTAACTTTTTCATCATTTAAGACTGCTTGAATTAGTTGATTTCTGGAATACTTAGATTCTGGTGACAGCTTATGTGGTAACAATGGATCCATAGGTCGAGAAGCCCATAAAAGATCACAATCTTTTCGTCTTATAGACAGTAGATCTACAAATTCTGAACATTTTTCCATGTTGAAAATAAAATGTTTTCGAGAGACCTAATAGCCTATTCCTCTACTATGGGCGGTTATTCCATTCGAAGTGTATTTAGAGTCTAACTAAAGTCCACTGATCAAGTGATTTTCAATTCAAATCATAATTAATTCCCTTCGATTTTGTTTACTTTACACATGCGTATATACCGCAGTTCACCAGAGTCCATAACTGCGACGCGCAGGTTGGAAGATGGTGGGGGAACGCAGCGAGCTCTCTGCTAATCGCTTTCCACTTCGTTTGGGAGTATCGCCAATCAGGGCGAAGATGCGTACTGGAGATGCGCTAACAACGAAAACTGGTCTTTTCGCAGTTATGGACTCTAGTGAATACTGCGGTATACATATGTAGGTATGTACATACATACGTACTTATGTGCTATACATCAGCGGTGTCCATAAGAAGAGTTCCTTACTTATGGGTTGCTTAGTATCCCCTCTTACCCCTGTGTCATCCCGCGAGACTTTTTGTCATCGGTGGACAGTAACTTCCTTTTGTGCTTTTAGCGCTGCTCGCGCCCTCTTGGCTTTCTTGCTGGTTTGGGAGTCGTTTGTACTGTTGATTTTAAATGAATAATTGCTTTTTTCGAAGTGTTCTTCGTGTGGTTTACGCGTGGTAAATACCGATTCAGTGATTATGGGTGGTGAAGAAGGCCTTGGAGTGACTACAGGTCAACCGAATCTTTATAAACAAGATCTTTCAAAACTAGTAAGTAATAATTGTACCGATTGTACCCTCATAATGTGACAAGCTTGCATCACGTTTCGCATAACCTCATTTTATAGTGTTGCTATACTATAATAATTTTAATTTGCATTAACTTTAATGAAAATTGTCGTTAACGAATATTAGAGAACATAGTATCAAATTTAATATTTGTATTATTTAAAAAAAGTATAATTACTAATACAATCCTGTTTTATTACGCATTAATGACATCTGGATAAAATTCTTATTGGTTTATTACATTTACACTTTATTTATATACTGTTAATAAATTACTAATAAGGTAAGGGATTTGTTAATATAATAATAATAATAATAATAATAATAATATATATAAGAATTTCTAAACACTAAGTACCTTATACTAGTATTTAAATTTACAGATCTTTTTTATTGTTTAGGATGTTAGTAAATTGACTACATTATCTCGTGAAGTTATTAGCAGACAAGCAACAATTAATATTGGTACGTATTACAAGTATCATTAAAAAAAGTTCTTTCTCTTTATTATTTTTTAAACAATTAAATATTATGTTTTGATAAAAACTATTGTATTACATAGCACATAATATTCCTGTAGGTACTATTGGTCATGTAGCGCATGGAAAGTCTACAATTGTAAAAGCTATATCAGGAGTACAAACTGTTCGTTTTAAAAATGAATTAGAGAGAAATATTACAATCAAACTTGGTAAGTAGATTTTAATTTGTTATTTAAAATTAAATATCATAATGTTCTTTGCAACATTAAAATGAATTATTCCAAATTTGTGCACAGTGAGAGTTATTTTATGTTAATAATTTAGGGTCAGTTTTATTTTTCTTCTTTTTCTTTACATTTTTTTTATTAGCTATACAAATCTTTTTTACGAGACTGGTATTCTTAGCATGAATGGTTTGAAATATGCAATACTGTATAATTTGTAGTATTTTTTATATGTAAAAGTACTACATCTACAGCTGTTTAAAAAGCCAAGTTCAGTGAACTGTGTTTCTTGCTGTATGTGATTAAATGTGATATAATTGTGTTGTAACTGATGTTGTATTCATAAATTTATAATAATATAAGAGAATTACCAAAAATAAAACTCAAAAGTAAAAAGACAATTATTAGAATGTATAATTTCAATGATTTAAAAATTAAAAAATTTAAAAAATATAGAAATATACTTTTTATGTTAGAAAGTGAAAAAATAAGGTAAGTACATTCATAACATGCTGTAACTTTATAATATACGTGATTTGTAATTAATAATGAAATATATATAGGTGTATTCGACAGAAAAGAATACGTTATATATTGGCTACATAAACACACAGTTTGTTATATTGTAACCCTTTATGAAAGAACTTAATAAACTTTTGATAGTAAAACTTTATTGTTTCAAATTATGTTTAAATTTTTTAGATATAAAAGTTCTTATGTGCATATATTTTCATATTTTAAAATATTTCATTCGCAAAGGGTTAAAATAATGTATTAATATAGAAATTGTACGTAAATTTAAATTTGGAATATGTTAAAAATAATAAAAATTATAAATTTTGCGTATTTTATCTATTGAAATCCCACCGTTACCTTATTGTAAAACTTATAAAATAATTTCAGAGATAAATCAACGTGTTCACGATATACATGCACGAGTTGTTTCTTTCTTTATGACTATGTTCATTTTTATTAACATTTCCAAAAACTAACGTATATCATTATTGTCATGCATTATGTATATTTACGTCATGTATTAATACTACAGTGTATGAATTTGATAAGGTGCAAACAATTTTCAATGCATATTTGCTGTTGTCCAGTCAGTTTGATATAAATGTCGAAAAAAGGTGTATAACTTTAGAAGATGTACTTTTAAATAAATAGCACCTTCGTTTTACACAAAATTTTATGAATTATATTGGTTACTTTTTTAATTGCACCAAATATTTATTTAGTAAATAAAAGAGAAGAATGAAGAGGATTCAAGGAATTTTCAAAGTATAAGGTGATACGTTATGCTAAAAGGCTAATAGAAAACGGAGAAATAATTATACAAGTTAAATGAAATACGGAAAAGTGTGACTGAAGAGAATGACATCCTTTAAATGTTTGGCATTACAGACTCTCGTGCAGTGGACGATACCAGAGGGGAACAAGAAGACCCTATTGGCAGTACAAGCAAAATGCCTTCTACACGAGCAAAAAGACCAGCTTCTTCAGAGAATCTTCGACCAATCGTCAAACAACGGAAAATCGAACAAGAATTCATTCTTTCTCAAGAAAATGGTGATGATTCTAGTCAGTCACCGAACAGTGATTCAATCGACACTAATGTCGCCTTCAAACAAGTCACTGAGAAACAAGGAATAACCAAAAATAACTCCAAGAACAATAATAGCTGTGATGAAAATCAGGAAATTAATGTCAAATACATAAGACTGAACGAATTAAATTATAATAGCAATGTTGAAGGACGTGGAATTAAATATAATTTAGGGAATGTTCGATTAAAGGAACTGAAAGTTGTATTAGAGGATATAAGACAGGGTAGTAAAACTGAAATGAATACTTTATTATCGAAAAATAATCTTTGGGAAGTAGAAAAAATTCTTGGAAAAAGAGAACAAAATGGCGTGTTAATTTATTTAATTAAATGGAAAAATTGGGACTCGGAATATAATAGTTGGGAACCAGCGTCGAATTTAGTAAATTGTTCAGATATACTACAAGAGTTTGAGATACACAGATCAAAGTTGCTTAATAATTTTCAGCAAAAAATGAATTTCTATCCTAGTCGACGAGACGTAGAGATATATTTAAATCACCTTAAACATAGCGGTATAACATTAAAATCTGTTTGGATAGAAGCAGATGTAATATACAAAAAGATACATAATTTTTTCAAATGCGCACAGATTAAAAGAACTGATAAAATGACAAGGTCTATAAAGCATGACATTCTTCTTATGTTATTTGTTGATTTGAGGAAAGCACAATTGCAATCGTTAACCAATTGGGCAAATGAAATGAATAGCATAGCAAACGGAAAGCCATTAATAAAAGTGGAAAATATAGTAGACCTAGAAGGAGCGCCTAAAGACTTCTGTTACATAGATGAATATTTACCCGGTGATGGTGTAATAATACCTGACGATCCACCTATTGGTTGCGAATGTAAGATTTGTAATTCTAAAACAAAATGTTGCTTTGTTCAGAATGATGGTTTATGTCCCTATACTTCATCGTGTAAAGTCCGAGTCCCTCCAGGCACGCCGATATACGAATGTAACAAACGATGTAGCTGTGACATAAGCTGCATAAATCGAGTAGTACAGCGCGGCTCCAAAATGGAATTCTGCATTTTTAGAACTGCCAATGGACGAGGCTGGGGTGTGAAAACTTTAAAAGCAATTAAAAAGGGTACTTTCGTGACAGAGTACGTTGGCGAAGTGATTACAAGCGAAGAAGCTGAAAAACGTGGAAAGAAATATGATGCTGCTGGAAAAACGTATCTCTTTGATCTTGATTATAATGAGACTGAAGGGCAATGTCCATATACCGTTGATGCTGCCATGTATGGAAACATTTCTCATTTCATCAATCATTCCTGTGATCCAAATCTAGCGGTTTATGGAATATGGATTAACTGTCTTGATCCAAACTTGCCTAAGCTTGCCTTGTTTGCAACTAGGGATATTGCGAAGAATGAAGAGATTACTTTCGATTATACATGCCAATCTTCGAGAAATAGTGAAAATTCTATAGTACAAAATGTGTCAATAAAAAAGAATGTAAATGTAGACGAAATTACCACGAAATTTCCACAAGAGTTTGCAGTACATTCAGAGACACCGGAATCCGATTTGTTAAGTAGTAAAACACTGTGCAAATGTGGTGCTCGAAGTTGCAGGCGATATTTGTTTTAGACTATACTTTGCAAGTTTATTACATTACTACATACTAAAACAAACTCGATGTTTAATTCTATAGTAGCAAATTGTACACGCAGAATCCTATAAAAAAAAGAATGACAAATTATTACATGCCCTTATTATACATATTATTAATTATTATCAAGTTATATATATATATATATATAAATTGATACAGTAATGTTTTATGATTGTACAAATTATTATTGAAGAAATGTATTTACTAAAAACTATTGTATTTTTAGTGATGCATAGATCTAAAGAAATACTTGAAAAAAGCAAAACATTCTTCTTCATTTTCTTCTTCTTCTGAATTATATCTATATGAACATATAATTTGTTTAATTGACGGCAATTACATTGAAAATAGTACATTTCACGAGTCTGTACAATTAATTGTTGTAATTGTTATTTTCGTCGCGCTAGTAAAACATTACCGATTACAAGAATTTAGAGCAATATCAATAAAATAATCGATGTTTATATGTTCACAGTTTACACTGTTTTTAGATATTTGAATATTATGTAGATTTTAATGAAGCGTAGATTTAAAAGGATACGCTTTTTAAGCATTTTTTCGGCACTTATCTTAAAAAAATTCGTTATGTACATGTTTTGCTAGTCTATGAAATAAACATTTTGCGCTACATAATTTTCATACATTTTTTTATTTACGACATAATTGATATGCTGTTACGTTTTACTCTATTTGTATTGATGTTTTATGAAATTATAACATTTAATCTTTGTAATTTATTTAATTAATAATTAAATGCGTTAAACATTATACGTATTGTGAAATAAATAAAATATAAAAATAAAAAAATTTGGTACAACTTAGCTATATATATATTTTATATGTATCTTAAGTAGAATTCGTATGGATATTTGTGAAATTATCTGATCATTCATATATTTAGCAGTTTCAAGTTCTATTAAATAGGTAATAGAAATTTCTTACACACAAATACGATGAACGTTTTAGATGGTAACAATAAAGGAAGATCTTGAAAAATTAGATTAACAAAGATATCAAACTAAGCAAAATGCAACAATTTTACCAAAGTCGATATTGTATTTTGTTTTCTAATTTTACTTTTACTTTTACTTTTAAATATCGTTAAGTTATTTAATATTATGTGTAAAAGATATTTTTCACTTGTATACATGTAATGCATGAAAAAATAAATATGTATGTGTTACATCAGCAGTTAATCTTTTAAATAATTTGTTTTTTATTAAATTTTTTGATATTTCTAGTATTACAGTAACTACTTCTCGTGCAGGAAGATTAATCTTAGCAAGAAAAGTATTTATTCTAAAACTAAGTATCAAAGTGTTTGTTAGGAATGTACATATCTATTCTATTAAAGAGCCATGACTTCGTTTGGTTTGTTTTAGGATATGCAAATGCAAAGATTTACAAATGTGATAATGAAAAATGCCCAAGACCGGGATGTTACATATCTGGAGGATCAAGTAAAGATGATTCGTTTCCTTGTTTACGACCAGTTTGTTCTGGCCGATTTCAACTGGTACGTCATGTGTCTTTTGTCGATTGTCCTGGGCACGATATCCTTATGGCAACTATGCTAAACGGTGCTGCAGTGATGGATGCAGCTTTACTTTTAATTGGTATACATTTGTTAACATCTTGCCTATATTTTACTATCTTTGACTATTAAATGTATTAATATTTATATAACAATAATTCCTGCATACAGTAGAATCTGAAAAACATAATTATTTAGGCATTAGTTATCTCATCAAATTTTTCGACGATATTAAAGAAAAAATACTAAATGTTTATTTACAGCTGGTAATGAATCGTGTCCTCAGCCTCAGACATCAGAACATTTGGCTGCTATTGAGATTATGAAACTGAAACACATTGTAATCCTGCAGAACAAAATAGATTTGGTAAAAGAAGCTCAAGCAAAGGAACAATACGAACAAATCTTGAAATTCGTTCAAGGTAATTTAATCTTAATTTAATGATTTTTCAGAATGTATATTCTGTTTTCTCAACGTGTATCTAATAAATGGGGTGTTTAATCAGGTACCGTTGCTGAAGGAGCACCTGTAATACCAATTTCCGCTCAATTAAAGTATAATATTGAAGTATTATGCGAATATATCACTAAGAAAATTCCAGTACCTATAAGAGATTTTACTTCTGAACCGAGATTAATCGTAATTCGATCATTCGATGTGAATAAACCCGGTTGTGAAGTTGATGATCTCAAAGGAGGCGTTGCTGGAGGAAGTATTTTAAGAGGAGTATTAAAAGTATAACAGAAGAATGTTTTTACACTCGTTTTTGATTTATCTATAAAGCATGTTACTTAATGTATCCGACGTTTTATAGGTGGGTATGGAAATTGAAGTTCGCCCTGGGTTAGTGTCCAAGGATAGTGAAGGAAAATTGACTTGTCGACCTATATTTTCGCGGATAGTATCATTATTTGCAGAGCAAAATGAACTTCAGTTTGCTGTTCCTGGTGGTCTTATTGGTAAGCGATGTTATATGTATATTGATTAACTTGAAGAAGACATTGTTTAAGAATAAAGTAAATGTATAGGTGATACTTAAATGATTAATTTGAAGGTGTTGGAACAAAGATTGAACCTACATTATGTCGGGCAGATCGTTTAGTCGGTCAAATTTTGGGAGCCGTAGGAGCTCTGCCAAAAATATTTATTGAACTTGAGATATCATATTATCTTTTGAAACGATTATTGGGAGTTAGAACAGAAGGTGACAAAAAAGGTGCAAGGGTAAGTGCATTCTACAAAGATACAAACGATTGTATATTTGGTGATTTATAACTGAAATATTTTTCAATAGGTACCAAAATTATCGAGAAATGAAGTACTATTAGTAAATATTGGATCATTAAGTACTGGAGGTCGTGTATTGGCCACTCGTGCTGATTTAGCTAAAATCAGTTTAACAAATCCTGTCTGTACAGAAATCGACGAAAAGATTGCATTATCGCGCCGTGTTGAGAAACATTGGCGTTTAATTGGTTGGGGTCAAATTTGTGGCGGTCAAACTATAGAACCAGTTATAGACCGAAAATAACTTCAGAAATATACATAAAAGCATTCAAATTTAATATAAAAGAGATTTTAACGTAATTTCTACAACGTAAAATGTTGCTTGAAATGTTTATAATAAAGTATGAAATACACATTATTTGCGTATTAATTTTAATTTGTTTTACCTGAAATTTCTGTTCTAACTTATAATAAAAATGATAAATACCGATTACAAAACACATTTTACAGCTGCATTAATGTTAATGTTCTTTTTTTCAATTTCGTTAGATAGAACAATTTATTTTCAGTTATATAACATATGTAATATAAGCTGTAAATAATGTGTCTCATTTACTTGAATCATTTATACTGGTGCAATTTTAATCAAAACAAAACATGATGGTAAAACTGTACCTTGCATTTTATATAAAAATAAATTAAAAAAAGATACGGCTACTACTTAATTAAATATTGCTATTTTAATTATGTTAAATTATGTACAGATACAAATCCCGGTTGAAGATATGAAATTGACATTGAAACACATGCCAATACTATTGGTGAATTTTCTGCGTCTTGTAACAGGCGATGTAATTCGATTGGTTGTATAAATGAATCGTCTTGCCTAAAAAACCGATCAATTAATTTTATACAACAAAAAAAAAAAAAAAAAAAAAAAATAACAAAACTTATTTACCTTACTACCACTATCCGATAAATTGGAAATCCAGGATTTGCTTTTCTATAATTCTGTGTGTTAGAATAAACATTATACGATATTTTGTATTTATTTTTTTTTCTTCTTACAGTTTTTTCAGGCGCGGATTTGACTATTTTAAGCTTATTGAAAACCTCTTCAAGACTGTTTCCATTCTTTGGTCCAATAAGTGGACTGCGTATTTGTTCAACTATTTGTACTTCATTACCATCTTCAGTCTTATCTTTTTCTATATCCTCATCATCGATGGTAATCGTTTTTTCTTCACGCCATTTAGTTTTTAACTCTGACCACGAAGATGCTCCTGGTAGTACTTTAAATGATGATTGATAGACTTCATTATTATATTTTGCTACCATGTTTGAGCCTCTTTGATAGTTTCTTGGCCAGTACCTTTGACGAGGTGCCGAGAATACGTTTCTACCTACACTGCAATGGAATGACATATTTTCTATAATTTTATGATGGTATAATTTTCTTAATGGTAAGAAATTGTGATAAAAATTATGATGAAGTTGGTTTCGAGTAACAGAACTTCTTATTGTGTTATTAGTAATATTCGGTATTAAAAAATTATTCATTTGTACTGACATAAATCTGTTTTGATGTACAGCAGTGCTATGATTTTCGACGGTAACAAACATATTTTGAAACATGGTATTTCTATGGTGCCAATATGAATTTTGATTGTACACGTATGGCACTCTATTAATACATCCATAATTAGGATTGAAGTTTGTATGTTGTCCTTGTTGCATAGAAAAATAGTTCTGCATAAAAACATTCTGTATACTAGATGTTAAATTTTCATTAAATTGCATGTTTGTATTTCTTCTAGGAATATTATTTATGGAAGAATTATAACATTGAACTGTCTTTTGATTTATATTTGAATGTTCTATATTTTTCTTAGATCGCAATTTTTTATCTGTTTGTTGCAAGTTTCTTAACTTTACACTTTCATAATTATAAACAGTTTTATGAGGTTTTATGCTGTGTGGTATGTAACCTCTCGAAATCTTTATTGCAACCGTGAATTGTAACGCTATATTTGGAATTAAATTCAATATTTCCATTCGTGTCATAGGTTTTGGAACTTCTTGAATCTCGTCGTCAGAAAGCTCTATGATCTAATTAAAAAATAAAGAATTGTTAGTTACCTTGATAATAATAATATTTATAATATTATGAATACTATTACAAATACTCACCTCCTGTTTTGATTTTTTAATTTGTGAATTCTCATTTAGTAACGAAGATGATTTGTGTTTTCCTAAACAATGGTCCACATTTTTAATATTATTAGAATCGATTATAGAAATATCAGAAGTTGACAATACTTTGTCTGCTCTTTTCGGTAATAATTTAACATTTCGCTGTATACGCGACGCTCGCCATGACGTTTTATCTTCCTTGATATAATCATTTTTAGGATCTATAACAATTTTTACACTACCTAATAAAGTTTCATCCGATATAATTTCTACTTTAGTATTGTTCTTTTTTTTAGTTTCATTTGTATTCATAGTTTTTAGATTCGTATTCAATTTTCTACAATTTTCTACATTACTTTCGCATTCGATACTTTTAGATTGAACTTCAACATCTTCTACTGCACTAAGGAGATTATCTAGAACTTCATATACATCATTTGTTATATCACTCTGTTCTGTTATATTTTCAGACACTTCTATGGAAGAATTAATAACGTTTGTATTAGTTTTTTTTACACATTCAACAGATTTACTGTTATCCGTATCTTTGTTATGTTCTTGAGAATCAATCATCCAAAGACCATTTTCAGGTTCAATGATAACTTTACGTTTTGTATTAATACTTTCATCATATTTTGTATTCCTTTCAGAATTATAAATAAAACGCTGTATATGATAACCATGACGTACTAACTGACTATAAACTCTATATTCTTCCAATGAACATTCAACATTATCAATTAGGAGGTCGTAAGCTTGTTGAATGGATAATGGTACATCATTCCATGTAAGTTCCAAACAGTTCTAAAACAAAATAGTATAATTTTTGTTTGTGTTCTACAACAATTTGCTTCTATTGTCGCATTTATGTTTGAATTATATAATAACATACAGTTTCTAAAAGAAATAATGCTTCTTCTGGTATTAAATATAAGACACCATTCTTTTCCAAACCAAAATTGCCCCAATCTTGACCAGAATATTTTTTTACTTTAGCCTTTTTTTGTGCAGGTAACCATTCAGCATTAGCTAATTGAGAAATACGGTTTACTCTTTCCACAGCTATTAAATTTTTACGAGTTGTAATACCCTTCTCCAGTTGCATATTTTGTAACCAAGAATCATTTGGTTCAAACTGTTTCATTCCAGTCTTTGGGAGGGTTTTAATTGATTTTTCATATTCATCCCAAGCATGGTACTTTATACCTCTATTCTTTAACAACTCTTCTGCCCTGTAAAACATCAATTCTTTAGGTATTCTAAAATTATACTTATACATTACTAAAACAATCTGTTTATACATAAAATGCTTACGTTAACATGTTAATGGGAAACTTTTTTGTTTCTTCTGTCATGTTCTGACCGTTTTCATACGATTTGAAAATACTCATCCATCTACTTTATAAATAAAAACTATCATGGTTCAATACCTGAATCTATGCAAAGAAGTTTTATATGGAAAAATTATTTTTCACTATAACAAATCACAAACAACAACTATTGTTAAATACTAATACAATTTATATACGTTTATATTTGAAAAGGAGTGATGCCGGTATGAGATACCGAGTAATGAGAAAAAGTAATCAACATAAAAGATTAAATACTTTCACATATATTTTTAATATCATTTTTTTAGCCGTATTTTGTTCTTTTTAAGAAATTTATGCAAGGTTAAGGAATGAGTATCTAAATACATATATATATATATATATACCGCAGTTCATCAGAGTCCATAACTGCGACGCGCAGGTTGGAAGATGGTGGGGGAACGCAGCGAGCTCTCTGCTAATCGCTTTCCATTTCTTTTGGGAGTATCGCCAATCAGGGCGAAGATGCGTACTGGAGAAGCGCAAAGAACGAAAACTGGTCTTTTCGCAGTTATGGACTCTGGTGAACTGTGGTATATATAAGTACATACTTTTATGTGCGTGTATACGTAAACAATTAAACGCATACGAGCTTCATGGCGGATTAAATACCTTTCATGTTTAAAAGCATTATGTCACTTAACATTCTCATTGTAAAATAAGTAACATTTAAATTTTATTTTCCTTGTTTTGTATTAATATATTTGTTTCCTTTAACTAGAAGTATGAAACCACGATTTGTACATAAATAATTATTTTACTTTTTAATCTTTCCTTACTATTGGTTAATCATAGATGAATGAGTGGAAGCACCCAATTAAAAGTATCTCAGTACCGTGTTTGGAAATAAAAAGTTTCGCTATATATGTATGTACATACATAAGTACATATATATGTATGTATGCATACATGTAACGTGTAGTAATAAATTTTAACTGTGATATAGAAACTATGTATAATCATCGTGTATGACAGAAGTAAGATATCGATATCTTTAAACAATGTGCAACACGTTCTTTTGGAATTTCATAAGTCGCATTGCTGGGCATCATCGATGGTAGGTATAGTTAATTAACATAGTTCTCGTTGCTCGCTAATAATGTGATAATCTAATAGTAAATAATCTGAAGATATATACAGTGTATACGATAATTACGTGTTTTCTATGATACGCACAAACTATTAGAATTCATTGCACGAACATTTTTTGGGCGTTTCAAAACGGTGCTTTATCGTGCAGTGCACGGAGTCTTGATAATCTTGATTTATGATTACGAGCTATCATAATATTTTTCCGAATTTCATTGGCGACTAACTGTCAACTGTCAGTTACAAGACATTTAATGACATATTCTTGTTTATTTTGATATAATGTTGTAAGTGAACGAATTTTAATTGTAAAATATGTTGATTAATGTTTATCTTGTGTACAGAAATTGTTAATCAACAAGAAAATAGGTTTCTTGAACACCCGTTCAAGAAAGTTTATTATCAGTTAACAGAAGATTCAATGACATATTTATTGTAGTTTTTATAATTGTTAATAGATTTTAGTATGATTGGAATGTTCTGTTTACAATAGAGTAAAAATGAAGTTTTCCTAATATTAAAAGCACTATATATAGTGTTACGATTTTTTAAACGATTAAACAAATTTTTTTCTTAAAAAAATTATGTATGTTTTCAATGATAAAATTTAACTTTATATATTTATTCTAGACAATTAGAAAAATGCTATGGCGGCCTCAGGATCACATAATGGGGATGCAGAGACTGAAAGCGATAAGTTTGAAGTATCAAAGATTGATAGACACGGTTTCCTTCATGATTCCAACTGTAGTTCTGAAAGGTAATATCAAGAAAAAGAATATGATAGTTTTATAGTTATATATTGCGACTGGTTAATATATTTTATGAAATATTAGCCTTGGAAGACATGGAATACCACCTGAGATAATGCTACGAAGAGAACGAAAATGGATACAGATGTTAAACAATTGGAGTTATTTTATGAATAGAAACTATCGCAAAGTCAGAGAAAGATGTAGAAAGGGTATTCCACCTTCTGTAAGACTTCGTGCATGGTTAAATCTCTGTGGAGGCCAATTGTTAATGGATACAAACCCAAATTTATTTGAAGAACTGGTAGAAAGGTCTGGTGATCCAAAATATATAGATGATATAAAAAAAGATCTTCATCGACAATTTCCTCATCATGTGATGTTTATCGGAGAAGCTCCAGGACAAGAAGAACTCTTCAAAGTGTTAAAGGCATATTCAATTTTGAATAGCAAAGTTGGTTATTGTCAAGCTCAAGCACCTATAGCAGCATTTTTACTGATGCATATGCCAGCTGTACAAGCATTTTGGTGTCTTGTTGCGATATGTGATAAATATTTATTCGGTTATTATAGTCAAGGAATGGAAACATTATTAAGAGATGGAGATATTTTATTTGCCCTCCTGAAAAGAGTATCTCCTATCGCTTATAAACACTTGGTTAGTACAGATTTGTATTTTATATAGAATTAAAGATCAAACTGTATGTATTGATTATTGTTTATTTATACAGAAAAAACAGAAGATGGATCCAATTTTGTACATGACCGAATGGTTCTTATGTGTGTATACACGAACACTGCCATGGGAAAGTATTCTACGAGTGTGGGATATGTTTCTGTGCGAAGGCGTAAAAATTATTTTTAAAGTTGGTTTAGTTTTGTTGAAGGGTAGCTTAGGTCGTACATCTCTTACTAAACGTTGTCCAACGGTTTATGAAACGCTCCAATTATTAAGAAATCCTCCTCAACATATTATGGAAGAAGAAGCTTTAGTGTATCAGGTACATTGCCTTTTTTTTTTTTTTTTTTGTCATATTGTTGCTTATGTTCGGATATATTTGAATATATCCTATTACAGATTCGAAAATTAAATCTGACCGAAGAAGATTTTGAATACGAGCATCGGCGTCAAGTATTAAAACGGGAAGCGGCAGAACAAGCATCTCTTTCCACTGCTAATCGGACAGACTGACTAAAAAAGTAGGTAGCATGTAATATGAGTAAAGAGCTTACAGGTATTACTCCAGAGTGTGCCTTCCTCTCTATATTCTTCATATTGTACAGTTCACAACATTTATATAGCTATACTTTTACAAGAATACCTAATTTCTTTATTGCAAATTTAGATAATTCTTAAATAGAATCGCACACGTATACATTCCCTTGAATAGATCAAAATAAATTATATGTCTATAGTTTTATTACTAAACTATGATTACAAAAATGCACAATACTTGTAGATGTTTATAGTAGCAATTAATGTTGTATTATTTAATACACAAGGCGTCTGGCTACAGATGGGCATCCTTTGAGTTGGCGGTAGCTAGGGTAACTCTGAACAACTTTTTCCGTTACGCGGTATCTGAGCTCCGATTGATGGTAGGGGTTTTTCGGTAAAGGAAAAAGTTATTCGAAATCACCCCAGCTACCGCCTCTCAAACGGTACCTACCTGTAATTGAACACCCGGTACGTCTAGTTATTAGTTAACTTTATACAATTCTATTAATATTTATGTACAAAAGAAAACTGTAAGACATTACATATTACATTTTCTAAGAATAAAGTTTAGTATATTATAATGTTATTGAATAAGGATTGTTTTGTTTAATTGTGTGTTGTTTTTTTGTTAAAATTTATCCAACTAATAACAAATGTAATTAAATAATATACATATGTTATAAAATATATTTTATCAGATCATAAAGTGTCATTTCAGTTTTACAGGTATTAATCTAATAACTAACTCTAGAAATTTAAGGTTCATGGGGGCAATATTAGAACGGAATCGACTCGGAGGTTCTCAACATTTTTCTAAAACGTTATAGTGCTCGATAGCGTTTTTAACGATATTCGATAAATAAACGAAATCGTCTTGAATACTCCGCGCGTGAAATATATCTAATTGAGTAAGTTTTGGTAAAAATAGCACGCTCATCATGAATACAATCGCCATGGTAACAAATGTACTTATGGCTGCAAAAAGTGGGTGTGATAGTTGGGTTTGCGTGACTTGTGCAGCAACCTTATTATCAAATGCAGGTTCAGGCTACAAAGAACATAATACATATATTAAGATGATAATAATATTTTCTTATTTTCAGTAAATTCAATTTTTTATCTTTTTTTCATTTTAAAGTTAGAATAATTGTATTTTAACAGATATGTTAAGAGCAAACAAAATGTTATTTTACTTACGATTGTCTTGTACCCGTGATTTCTTTTGAATTCTGACATGAATGTCTTTAATGGAAAAAAGTAATATTGATAGAGAGGCTGGTTGACCGGAAACTCCGCATGAGTCTGCATAACTTGAGGCATCTCGCCGGAAGAGACTGCATTAGTTAAGGAAGACAAACTGACTGTTGAGCCTTTGTCCAATGCGTTTTTATACATCGCTGCCAGTTCTGCTCGTGTATATCCAAGTACTTCAGGTTCTTGCACCTTAATAATGGTTGACGGCTGAGACTGAAACGTATGAATAAAAATTCCTATTTGAAACGTTTCTTAGATACCTTTTAAAATAATGTAAAAATATTTATGTCCGGAAAATAATAATACAAAATTATTTACCTGATAATAAGGAAGAGAATTTTCAAAATCAGCTCGATGGAACTCGATTTTCTCATTAATCGGTACATTGTAACGTTGTGCGCTTTGATTCTTATAATTTCCATTTTGTCGGTCGTTCTTATTAATCCTCTGATAATTTTGTTTATTCTCATAAGTTGGTATATTCTTATAATTATTTCTCCACGATAAACGATCATAAATGTTGATCGAGGAAGGGACATTAAACTCTTGAAGCTGAAACATCACTTTTTGAAGATATTCCTCACTTGATTCGTGGTTTGCTCGTGTTTCTACGTAAACATAGTTAAAAATTACTACTAAAATAAGATAACTTAACTTCATTTTTCCTGTTATATTCATTTTATAAGATATTCCAATTTAATCTTAATCATTTCTTCCAATAATTTTTCTGTATCCACATTGCAATTTTTTTCTTTCAAATATCAGTGTAATTTTAAAGATAAAAAATAATAATTAACGAGTTCATCGCGTTAGTAATATCATTTGATTCTTTATTCTTGATTATAAAACGGATTTCATATCACACACGAAGTCATTGAACAGTTACGACTGGCACGTTTGCAATTGTACTAGCAGGGATGAACTGTATGACCATCCTCGGCCAACTGGTTCCCCACCAAGTATTCCAAGAATTTTCTTAATAGTAAGTACCTACATATGTGCAAGAAAGTCCATTAAGTAATATGTGAACTTGTTGAATGTTAAAAGACACGTAACGTTTAATAGTATTTCGTTTACGATGAAAATTTACAAATTTATGGTAGTTGGAATGTTTGAACGTATTCTTCGTCACTAACATTTATTTTGATTTTCATGTTAGGAGGATGTAGCCGGTAGAAGATGAAGTATCAGAAATTTACGAACCTACTACGATCATCAGCAACCTATAAGAAGATCATTCTAACGATAAGGAGGTACTAGTTTAATTTGTTACAGTTTGGATAAGCAAAGAGCAGTTTGAACTTGTCACGGTAGGTAAGTAAGTACCTACTACTTTATATCGTCACACATTTCTATTGAACTGGTTTACTGTACTGTTTCCATTTTCTTACGAATCACGTAATAATCATTTGTCCAACTTATTGTTGCGCAAAACACGAACGAACGGTCAAGAATACGAAATAAGGACCAGTCGTTGATGTCTCCAAATTATTATGCACTCGAGAACTTGATTATCCGGTGCCCAGTCGAATCTGAACTTTCTTGAACAGTAACGGAAAGATACGAAATAAGTTTTCAAGTCCTACATTATTTTATGCATGAAGAAATTGATGAAGGTTCCTTTAAGGTAACTTTATTGATGTATCTTTTTAATTATTTAAAGGACACAGTGTTATTTATATTATAAATACTTTATCATTATTTTTTTTACTTGCTATGCAAATAAAACTAGTAAGTTTGGAGTACAATGAACGATTAAGGAATTGCGGTTCGTTGAATGGTACTATGAAGAGCCGTTACATGACAACCTGCGATTTTCCTTAATTTGTTCATCCACCGTAATTACCCCGCTATTACGTTGTCCACGTAATAACAGCTTTTTTGTTAGTATTGTTTCTTTTTAACTTGCGAGATTGTGAGAATTATACATATACTTATAATGATACTTCTATCATTTGTAATTAAAGTATTATCTACACGTTTAACGGTACGTTGACCGATGGAAACGAAAAGTGGTAGTTCCGCGAATAAATGGAAGACAATTATTATTATTATTAGGTGTACTCCAACGTTGGGCGTTACTCGAATAATTATTTTATTTAAGACTGATTCAAACGATGGGAATGCATGTTATTTCACTATCAATATTAAATACAATTTTATACCGTAAGCATTTGTTCCAGATTACTGTCTATATTTTAAAGACGGGGGAGGTAGGAGAACCAAAATTGCTTGTATGGTTCGTTATTATATCGTGTATTTCCTTTCACATCGAGTGCACCGTTACCGATATCACCTTACAATTCTCTTTTTCCTTCTTTTCATACAAAAAAGATGATTCAATGATCAACGTCGCTACATTAATTTTGTCGTTCGTCAGTAATTGTCATTACACGTAATTTCATAGATATAATACATATATCTTTATCTTTAGCATAACTTCTTCTCTTTAAAGTGAATATCATACAAAATCTAAGACTATACGTAATTTAACCTTAATTCCTTGTTATATATAAACATAATGTAGTAATGTAATATGCGGCGGTGGTTCTATCTTATTCTCCTTAATGTTTAAAGTAATTTACAAAAGTCTTGTTTGTCGTAGACAACGAGTATCGTTGGAGACGGCGGCGATAGGCCCTGTTTTTAGAGCATATGGTAATTGCCAATTTGAACTTTGCCGCGTATCATTGTTCGCGGATGCGCGCGCGCAATTACACTCGCTACGCGAACCATTTCCGGTTGCTTCAGCACCGTTCAACACAGTGGATGCGAAATTTAAAGCGGCGAACCCCGTTTCAGTGTTAAATTCGACGTAAATTCAAACGCGGTTAGTTAAAAAATACGTTAAAAGGTATATTTATATACAAAACAAAAGGATACGCTACCAGGTTAGTGCTTAATATGTTAATCTAAAAAACGACGTTCGACAGAAATCTTTTTTCTCTCGGAATATAATGGTGTATAATTGTCTTAGCAAAAGATTATCAAGATATTTGCGCGTTAACCTCTAATACTTTTGCATGATTATTAATATCATATTTTTGTAATCATTTCTTTTGTGCAATACGTATAAATAACTATTTCGGTATAATTTTCATTTGAAAAAATAGGCCGAAATGTACTTTGTTTTCCGAATTTATCGTTTAAAGTTGAGTATTGGTACATGAAAGATTTAAAATGGAGCCAGAAGTGAACTCAGACTCGCATGCTCTATCGTTCGAAGTATGCAAATTATTTAAAATATACATTGTAAGCACAAATTAAAATTTCAGTACACTAAATGTTAAATCACGACGATTCATAGCACATTTTTTTTCTTTTTTTTTTTCCTTTTTTTGTTAAACATAGAGCCTTAACGAAACCTACGTGTTTGTACATAACATGTAGTACGACACGTTATGTCTATTTGATGATAATCATCAAATAAGTAACATTAATTTAACAAGTCTATACACGTCACTGATAATATAAGATAATATATATATATATATTTTTTTTATTGCTACGCTTATGGAGTAAGCAATTTCATTAAAAGTTGATACAAAGTCGCAACGATAATAAACTAATCATAATGAATACTTTCGGTAATATTTTTCTGTAGTATTCTTCTAGCGTGTCGTTCGAGTTTGTTTTACTCGTAGTTACAACTTCGCAGCTGAGCAAAGTTATTAGAAATATAAAACAACGTGCATATATAGGGTGCCCGATTTTAATTTATAAATGGATCTTTTTTTTACTGTTTTACATTAATAGATAGTCAAGATTAAAGTTTCATTATTTCTCAACATTTTTTCTTTTAATAATCGTTGTGTTTCGGTCACCCTGTATATATTCGTAAGAACGTAACTGTCTTTTTGCTAAAGTGTTGTGCAATTTAAAAAGCAGAAGTCGCTACACGTGATTTTGTAATGCTAACCGGTAATTACACTGAAAAAGTAATACATAATACGTACATCGTATCGGTCAAAATCGGTGATATCGTAAAATATCGATATTTCAACATCATGCAATGACCACTCACTTTTCGATAATGTTACGCTTCATAATTACAAAACTTAATGAGCTTTTTTTATCAGTTACAATCAAACAGTTACTCTGTTTGCAAGTGAATGTGCGATAAAACACGCAACGTTAAGATTATCAAATTACTTTCATTCTAACGCTTAGGAGATAGGAATATCAAGCTGGTACAAAATCTGTAAAAATTGAAGTATATCAGTATCAAATGTAGGTTTTTAGAAGTTACCGAAATTAATGATAAATTGAAATTACAAGATATAAAAGTACAATATTGATTTTTATAAAAACTGGTCTCTGTTGCCAGTTGTACAAAAAGGATTGTAATTCGTCACATCTTAAACTCATCAGTCGCATAGAATATCACAGGAACGTTAGTAGGTGCCATTGGATTTGTGTATATTAAAAACTACATTGCCCATGTATGCATTGAATGAATATAGAACGATAAAAAGAACTTTAAATTTCATTATTAAGGCAATACTCCACAAACAAACACACACACGCGCGCGCGCGCGCGACACGCACAAGCACACTGTACAATAAAATAATTCGAACCTATCCTTGTGCAATAAAAACTTCCAGCAATGGACAGACAAAGCATGATTAAAATAAAATTGTAAGCACAAATGTAAGAATGCCCTTGATAATTCTCCTTACCCGGTATCTTTTAAAATCTTATTTTTTATATTAAAATAGTAAATGAATTTTAATAGCAAATATTTTAACTTGCAAAATAAACTGCAACATCGAGTAATTATTATTATTATTATTATTATTATTTTTAAGTGTAATAAGTTTGTGCTGCTAAAATTATCATTTGCATTTAATGATGACAATTTTCTTTTTGTACACAAATTTATTTCAATTTCATATTTTATAATTCATTGCCAAGTGCAGCACAATCATATTCACAATATCATACCTCTTTGCTATGGCAATAGTGTAATTTACAAAATTCTATGCTAGCTCGTTCGGTTACTCTACTTAATGCTATTGTTTCTCTCGGTACTAGGGCAAATTTAGCATTGAATGGCATCTTTAATGTAACAAGTGACAGATACATTATCAGTCACCTTTTTCTGGGCACAGCATAGTATTTAATACATTCTACTTGAATTATTATCCATGAAAAAACCGCCGTCTCCACATTACTTCTTATGAATCGCCTAGGTATTACAAGAAACGCGTCACGCACTCGTTCTTACAGGGCACGCTGTATTATTTGCGCTATATCTTCCTGATCCAGTTACATAAAGCCATTTACCTCGAAATGAATTAAAGTTAATTACAGATTGTTAATCAATGAAATTTTAAGAACTACGATTTTGATTTAAATAGAAAACTAACATAGTAACACAGCCCGATGCAATAATAATGTGTGCCTTTGTAATGTTTACCTTTTTCTGTGAGAGAATGGCAAACCTCGAGACTGCCATTAACTTTAACTTGTATCTGAGGTATTTCCACATTATTAATAATAGCACGTTTGCACTTTACGAAATAATAAAAAGAGTACACATGCTATTCATTTGAAACTTTGTTTTTCTTTTTTTCTTGGATCATATAAGAATCCTTGTCATGGCAAAAATAAAAAAAATTATATAGATTAATTCACAACAATACTTTTAATCTTTCTAATTAATACACTGGTTGTAAAAATGTTCGGTGTATCTATATACACATCCTAAATCGAGAAGTTGCGTAACAAGAACAACACATGTAATTAATTATAAAAAAATTCGATTATAAAATTAGCAATTGTATATACTCTAGTACGAGTGTTTATACAATCACTACATTTATTGTTCTGAGTTATGCATTTCCATGTTCATAATGTAGATATCAGCTGTATAAAAATTTAAAACAATTACTAATTCTGTCTGAACTCTTGTTAAATAATAAAATCGCAATTATCATATATCGCAGATCGTATAAATAACAGTTATTGTTTCATTATTCAAACATCACTTATTCTCTCACTAGTAGCAATATAATATAAATTAAAACGGATAGGTTTACTACAAGTAAGGCGCTATACTTGTAAATTGTTACTTTAAAAAGTATAAAAAATTCATAAGGTTACTTTTGATAGATATAATTGTGCGTGTCCATAGTATTTTCAAAAAATTTTGTACACAATAAACTACGACACAAAATGTTTAGGAATTTCCACCATACGTATAATTTAGTCTACCGACCAAATTCATCGTAAACGAATATTCAATGCAAATAAAAGATAATGCGATGATAATAAATTGTAATATCACAAAATTATATTGAATTCTATATATACAATATATATGTAAAAGTTTTGCTGTTTGAAAAAAAAAAACAAAAACAAAAAAGGTATAAAATATGTTTAAAATATTCCCATTTAACCATTGTACACACTGTATTACAACCAGTGAAATTAGATGAACATGTTAATTAAAATATTTGTTAAGAATGAGATGTTTAGTTAAAAGCATTAGATTCTGTAAAAATATAAATTTCATACAAAAACTTGAATAGGCGGAAATTCTTAGGCACTTTGTACCTTTTCAGAGCGTTCAGAAATATAACAATTGTTTGTGTAATGATTAGCATAAAACAAATATTGTTACACTGCTTGATTAATACGTAAGCAACAGTGACAGGCGATGATAATGATTTCAATTACAGACGGAGCATATGTTCGTCTCTTACATATCTATCAATTATATAACATAATCGAAGCGTAAACTAGCAACTAATTAATTAATTCTCCCGATTGGAGTGAACCGGTTATACACACATGTACATCAAGTAGGGATGTGCATTAGCACGATAATGGAATGAAGAAAATTGATACGGAAAGGAAAGAAAAAAATCTGGCTGACCGATGCGATGCGTAAATCAAAATTTATAATATGATTGTCCCCTGGCCATAAGTGAATGGCTTAGCAGCGCACGTGCCGGAGTTAAAACTTGACTAGAAATGAACGAGCGTGCGAAGAAAATGTAACGTATTGATTTCGTAATTATTTTACTTCAAAAAAGATTCCATTTTTTCTTTCCTTATTCATATTAATCTCATTAACTTGTGTTCGTTTCTCATCTCAGCATTTCATCCACCGTGAATATTAATAGTTATAGGTAGTTCTTACTACTTTCTTTCTTTTCTTCTTCTTCTTCTTCTTTTTTTTTTTTTTTTTTTTTTTAAACATAAAAATTATGTTTCCATTCCAGACAGAGGTATTCTTATTTCTTCGTGAAATCTATGCAAGGACTACCTACATCACTTAATATTTCTCAAGTGAAACCTAACTCCTGTTGTGCCGTGTAAGCCCTCCAATTATGTGTTACATTTTATCGGTGACTTACAAGGCACATTTCCGAACATGCCGCACACATAAATATCTCTAATTGTCCTCCCGTATGAAAAAGTAAAAAAATGATCTTCTCGTGGTTACAAATTCACAGCAATTTTACATGCCGTACAAACAAGGTACGTGCTGTTCTTCGCGCATTTCGAACTGAATAAGAATATCAGTCTTTCTTTCTAGAAGAAAAATTAGCGCAGGCGTGTGTACACACACGCTTATGTATACATATATATGTATATGACACGTATCTTACAAATAAACTTACACACATGCGTGCGTGCGTGCGTGCGTGATTATTAGTAGTTGTAAACATATAAAGTAGATCATATCAGCATTTGATCTCTTTGTCATTGAACGGTAGGATAACAACACATGCCAGTAGAAACATTTTGGAAGAATACAATCTAGTTCTAATTCAGCTTAAAACCATATTAACTGTACCATCTATACAATATTTGATCGTGCTTAAAGACCAGATAAAAAAGACAAATTTAAATAAAAGCTAACGTAAAGTTTATCAGCTTTTGAATGAATCATAATTTCAATGTGCATTTTAAATTTAACTAGATATTTTATAAACGTTACAATATAAAAAACAAAGACACGATTAAATATTAGATTGGTAAGGTATATATGGTCAATTTGTCAGGGTATTCATACATCTTATTAAATATGCTCGATCTTTCACTAATCCATTGAATAGTTATAATTGTTATAATTAAAAAAAAAAAATTAAATTTAAATAAAAGCACTTACTTTGTTGCATTAGTGCTTTCCTCAAATGTTCCATTTCAATCACAAAAATTTTTGATACACTATTTTCTTTTCCTTTCCTTGATATTATCGATAAAAATAAATCATTGAGATAAATTCACAACGTTGTTGAGAGCATGGTATCACGAAAGTCATCACTGTACTGCACTTTGTAACAATTAACCAACCGATTAATTTGTCAATTACATCGAAACAATTATGCATTTAGTTTAATCATAATTCGATTTGTCAATGTGAAATATTTACTGCATAATCCGTGTAATAGGTTTTTCCTTTTTTAGTACACATAATTTGGTAGTCTGTGCTCGAAATATCAAAAGTTGCTATTTTCATTTGCACCCATATGAGTCAGTCTAACTTCATGATATACTTGTTCACCAATATATTAATAATTTCTTTGGTTGGCCCAATATAAAGTTCCTTTGAGCATTTATACGTTTTTCACTTGTTTGTTTGAACGTTAATTGTCTTTACGCACACATTCATCAAATATTATTATGGTATTCCAGCATTATGTATCTTGGTATTAAGAGGCTGGTGGTTCATCGTCGGCTAAATTATGAAGATCCGAATAATTAACGATAGCACGATGCAAAAATTCATATTGTGCCTAAAATATATCAATTCATACATTAAGATTAAGATTAAGATTAAGATTGAGATTATGATTATTATTTATATGATAAACAATTTGCTAAATATCAATTTACGTACAAAAGTGCTGATCATTCCATGTCTTTGAGAACGTAGCTTTTTCGTTGTTGTAAAGATATCTACGCGTTTTTCAGTCCTTAATTGCTGTACCAATATGCTAAGGGCGACGAACATAGAGCTCCTATCAGATCCATAACTGCAGTGTACAACTAATGAACCGCTCGATTCTGTATCATTTGTAAGAGTTTGGTTTACAAGTTCAATGAGACCGCGTGTCACTTCAGGTACTTCTCCTTCTACTGTCGGCCAACCATGATACTGATATTGAGTCACAACAACATTTTCGTCAGTTTTCGTGTTAGAAACGCAAAATTCACGACGAGTATAGTACGGACAGCTCTCGCTTTGAATATATCTAACTCTTATATGGTCATATACAGTTTCGTCATCGGGCCAATATCGTGGACACTTACGTGGACCTTCGTTCAACTAAAAATACATTTTTATGTTATAATTATACTTTTAGTAAATTTATTTGCTTTTTAAATAACACTGATATTACTGTTCTTACTTGTAGTCGGAAGCCCAATAAATATTTTCATCCGACTATTTTACAGTTAAATAATCTAGAAAATGATCTAGATAAAATATACGTTGCGTGCTATACAGATAATATTTACGCAACGCTGAAGTAAAAAATAATAACAAATGAAATGCACTTTTAGTGTTAGTTGTAAAATAAAGTTTCCTGATTTCTCTATTTTATACTTACATCAGATAACATTACTATTGTTGAGATACATTGCTCTGAGATCATTCGCCAGAAATCTGCTATAGTAGTCTCCAATGGGTCTTGAGTAATAACAAACGATTCAGAATTGTCATAGCCCTCAATAAATGAGGCGTTTATGTAAGTCGAATGTTCTCTACCCGGAACAGGTGTAAGAATTACTCGATTTCTATCGTACGGTATTATCAATTCGCTTCTGTTCTTACTCTTGTTTTCTTCCCCACCGCCCACGGAAAATGATTTTCTATCTTCTAACACAGAGTTAATTTTCTAGAAATATAAATAAGAAGAAAAAAAAAAAAAACATGTGATACATTGAATAATTTATAAAAAGTCTTTAAAATAATTTCCTACTTACATCATACTCCTCTTCCATTCTACATTTTTCTTTACCGTTATCTCTTTGTCTCAATTTCGCGACTGCAGCTTTAAGCTGAGATGCTGGAATTTCGGTGTCACCGTATTGTGCCATTTCCATTAATGCACGGTAAATAAAGATATACTGTTTCAATGATTGCACTAAGAAATTTCTCTGATGTCTTAGATCGCAGACTGTATTGAAAATTGAAACTTGACCTTCTTCTGCAAGTTGCTGTAACAGAGAGTCTAATGCAACTAATGTCCCTGTTCGTCCAACACCTGCGCTACAATGTACTAATATTGGCCCCTTCTCTAACGAGTAAGCTTCGTTCACTCTTTTTATGAACCTCAATATCGCATGCGGATGTTCCGGTGCCATGAAATCTTTCCAAACTAAAAAGTGATATTGCACAATCGTACGTGCATCTCGTTCTCCCAATCGTGTCATTTTTAATTCACGAACGACGTAATCGGAGTAAGCTCTTTCTCGAATATGTTCAACAGTGATATCACCAAAATTTTTTGTTTCCCTTTTGTCCGGCCAATATTTTGCACATTTTGTTTTCGAATATTCCTCGAGGTTTGTCAACATGAGTATAAGTTCAAGATGTTGTTCCCAAATCATTCTCCAATAATCGCAAACAGTATTTTCCATCGGACCTTGAGCGCATATAAATTTCTTGCGTTCTTTGTATCCCAAAACGAAGTTTGCATTTATATAATCAGAACCACAAATTCCATCCATTTGTGCGAGTCTTATTCTCGTCTGATCGTAACACTTTATGTCTGGATAACGATTTTTGTACAGATTTTCGCGAGCCTCCGAAGCTCTTGTCGTACGATCCGTAAACCTATCCGGCAACAGTTCAAATTCGTGCTGAAAGCCATAATCGGAATCCCGGTGTCGTTCAAGATAAGACTGAAGCAATTCGCTTTTTGGAATAGGAGGCATATCCGGTGGACTAGCTGCGACGAGCTGATGCCTTCCTCTCAGACTTCTGCACAAATGTCTAACAGAAGATAACATTTATTACATGTTACAAAACATAATACGTATTACTAAATTTATACATTTCATTACCTGAAACTATTTCTCAAAGTTATAATTTCTTCTCCTCTTTGCCGAACACGTTTTGTATATCTATGCAGTATACAAAGCGCAATAAGAAGTATGATGATGATCAGTATAAGGGCAATGGAAATTTGTAAAATTACGCTAAGCGTGGTCACTTCTGCCGATACCATAGATCCAGGATCTAATCCTCCATAAAGAGGGTTAAAGTAATTACTGTAGGCTGGTAAAAGCTGATCTCCTTGATTTCCAAACACTATGAAAGAAACCTTCAATTGTACTAACTACAATTATATTATTTTAGAAGAAAATTAATGATAAATATTTGACATAGATACCGATAACTTCGATAAAACCAGTGTAGTTTGATTTTTCATCGAGAAAACCATCTTGTGGTATTTCAGAAGATCCGTCGTTGTTCTTTGTTTTCTGAATAACTGTATTCTCCCTTTTTCTTCTTTCTACACTCTCTGTGTAATTGCTGTCTACTTTATTCGGAATAGTCGTTTCTATTCCTTGGGTAGTGGTAGTTGTCGGCGAGGTAGAAGTTGTAGTAGTAGTAGTAGTACTAGTAGTAGTAGTAGTAGTAGTAGTAGTAGTAGTAGTTGTTACCGGTGTTGCTGCAGTTGTTGTGATAACTGTCGTATTGGGTGTTGAGGCGGTTGTTTGAACTTCCGGAACAAAATGTAATACCGGTGGAGCGGCTTTTGGCCGAAGTCCAATACATTTATTGCACATAGTACTGCCGTTAAATGATTCGCCATCACCGAGGAAAATCTCTGATATCAATTGATCACTATCAAACATTTCAGCCATGTAAGCGCCGCCAGAAGGTGAATTATGCGCATACTGATATGAATAAACACCAATTTCTTCAGGTGGTGGTAAATCGGTAACACTTTTCTGAGGTGCTAATTTTACCAGATATACTCGATAGCAACATATTGGACCATTTCTTTCCGTTATACGCGGAAGGTACAATTTAAACAGCTGTCTACCTTGATTCTCAATTTTTCGCCATGATCGCATATTTAAACTATCTCTGTCTGGAATGGTAACCGGCGTAGTGCAATTACCAATTGCATCCTTTCCTGGTGTACGGGATCTCGTCACGCCGTGTACTCGAACCTTTCGACAAAACATGATTTATAATATCGTAAAACTTTCGAATTATAATAAATATAAAAATAGCAATGTTTACCGTGTAATTTGTATTAGGTGGAATTTGATTAAAATTTGCACTATCTTTTTTATGAACGCTCCGGTTCTGGGGCCCCCAATTATCAATATCTAAATGACCCATGTCATTCTTAAATTTAGCAACACCGGTTAATTGTATATTGTAACGAGTAATAACACCGTTTGGCTTTTCTGGATGAACCCATGTAATGGAAATAAAACTGGAACTACTGATATTATCGAATCGACAACTAACGGATAAATTTTTAGGAGGGCTGGCCACTAAAATTTAAATCATATGCAATTAATTTCGCATTTTTTAACTTGACAGAACATTGGTCTCGTGTTGAACGATTCTATCTACCTCCGTCTAAAGTAGTACCATTCACCTCGGCGCTCCAATTTCCACACTCTTTTGTATATTCACTACATGCAGCAATTTTAAATTTATATATTGTAGCGGGATCGAGATCAACAAACGCGTATACAGTAAGTGGTTGCGCGGGATATACCGCTTCTCTTTTTTGGTCTCCATGAGTAGCCATTAAATTGTAATAGTGAACGTGTTCTTTTAAATCAGGCGGTGGCAATGTCCAGCCTATTGTAATGGAATTTTCAGTGACTCCATTGACAGAAACTTTTGGCACAAATATAGGATCTGTAACAAGTTGTATTAGTAATATACATATATGTATATATTTTTTTTGTAATATCGCGAAAGGATCGGACACGATCAAAGCTGTTTGTTTTTTTTCTTTAAATACCTTTTTCAAGTGTAGTGATCCAACGTGGATCAAGTCTTACATGCGATGTACCTACTACATTTGCAGCACTAATTCCAATTTGATACGCTGTACCACTTTCAAAACCTTTTAAAACGTAACTCGAATTTCCACCCCCAATTTCCTCGGAATAATATTGATACTGATTAGTTCCATTCTTCATATGTTGAATAAAATATTTTTTGATAGGTTCGTTACCATCGTTTACAGTCCAATTCAAAAATATACTTCCAGCACCAACAGCCTTCATGAAATCAATGCTAACTTTTGGTACATCAATTACAAAAAGATGTCTATAGGCACTAATTTCGCTGCTATAGTCGCGTGCTTTACAAATATACGTTCCATTATCTTTACGTGTCAAACTTGAAAATTCCAAAGTTAATACGGTGTAAGTCTCATTTATCTGTGTAATAGTGGTAAAGTCTTTCAAGTGTTCGGTACTTTCTGAATCATTCCCTTTAAACCAAGCAAATTGTGTTAATGGATAACCATACATGTGACAGGTCAAGTTAACTGACTCCATTACTTTTGCTCGAATATCCTCTCCAGGTGCTATTTTACCTGGCTCTAAAATAAAAGAAATTCTTTCTTAAAAGAATAAACAATAAAATAACTAATATTAACTGTAATTATAACTGTAATTAACATTTACCAATAATTCTGATATGAACATCTTTTTCCAATAATTCCCCGTCTGTAGTTTGTGCTGAACACCTATAATCTCCTGTATCATTTCTGCTAGCTTGTTTGATATCCAAACGTTCTCCAGAATCATAATCTTTAATAGTAGTGAGGTTTCTTCCATTGCTAGTCCACCATATTTGACCGGGTACATTAAGTTTACATATCAGTGAAGGTGTACTACCAGCTTCGATACCCTCTAAAGCTTGAGATGCTGTAATTTCTAGTACCGATGGGTTCTCATTTTTTGGTTCAGTTGTTTCTATTTTTTCTACACCTGCATATAAACACATGTACAGATTCATATTTATTATTATAAAAATACATAAACTATTATGATAAAAGTATCGTATAAAAATTCTTCTTTTATTTTAGCAGGTCTTTGATACGCAAAACTTCAAAATAACTTTCAACCAAGTAGTATGCGAATGAACCAAGTAACTGGCTCATTAATTCATTACAATCATAATAGCGAAGTGATATAAGCTGGATAAGTATTGTCTTAACGGTTGAAATTAGCATAAAACTTCTGTATATTTTACAATATATTCTAATTTAAAAAATTAGAAAATTAATATAAAATTTCAATTATAAATACAATCGTATTAAGAAATTTTTATTCGTGTAAAGTTTATTTTTTGCGAAAGTAAAATTCGGTAATATATCGAAAAGGTACATGTAGGTACCGGAATATGATGGCATTGAACGGATTCACTATAAATATACAAAATAAGTCATTAAAAATAAGGATAAAAGGAATACTAATTTTATGAAATTCAAATACATATACATATACATATAATAATATTGTATATCGATAAAAAGAATGGTCATGTTTTATTATTTATATAAAATGAATTACAAAATTTGTTCAAGCAATTTACGTCCAGTTTTATTAGAGTAATATAACTTGAAATTTGTTACTATTATTATTATTTTACGCTAATAAAAAGTCGCGATATTAGAACACCATTTGTGTATGTACAAAAGTAATATCGAATTGAAATAAGTATCGATCGATTAGTAACACACTATCGATTAAATAATAAATTAATATATAATAACAGAAGGAAATAAAAATACTTTAATATGCAATAAAACGTTGACAAAATTAACCGATAAATATACATATAATCATCTAAAATATGTTGAACATAATGAACTCATTAGATATCGTAGATTCTAGACGGTTTACAAAGCAAATTGATTCTGTACGTTTACTGGCAATCAATGTACCATAAAATTTGAATCATTTAGTGTAAACAAAGATTGCGAGACAAACGAATAAAAAAAAATAAATAAAAAAAAAATGGGGTGCAACAAATGATAAACAATTTAAACGATCAAGATACAACACCAGTGACATTCGATATCCTTTTATATGTTCGTTACTCAATCGTGCATGACGGTATGAGATTTAACGCATGCCTGTACAATCGGTAAACCACTTTGACTTTGGCTAAAACAGTTGTTGCACTATTTATTTATGTATAAAAACAATTGAAAGGACAAGAATGGGGAGAAGAATGGTGACAGTAGCAGTAGCACATCGTGTATTGCTAATGACTTCACTTGCAATTCGTTACATCTCGTGCGGCGTTCAACAGATAAAAACGAAAGAACCTGTCGTTATGTTGAATGTAATCGTAAGACTGTTTATAAAAGCATCTCCAAAACTTACCGGATTCGTCAAGGCCGGCGACGATAAGTACGAAAAAGCAGAGTATCATCAAAGGGACACTCGACATCGGTAGACCACTTCGGGGAAACATGGCGTCGTGACAACCGGGCGTGAGCGTTGTATCCCTGGCCCTTTTCCTACTTCCTGCCACCTTCATACGCGCTCTTGATATCTTTCACAATCCCATGACGCGCGGCTAGTATCGCCTATCCATTTCAATCACGATTCAATTCACTATTTCATATCACGCTTCGCACTTACGTGCGACGCACTTTTCGAGATATTCAAGCACGGTTCGCAAATCTTACCCCGTAATAGCGCTGGCAAAACTGAATCATATTATACGAGTGTAACGTAGGTCTCCCGACGAACACCAAGCCGCCAAATGTCCAGCGATTGACACTGCCCTCCATCGGGCCTCTCTTCTAGGTTCTGATGAACAAGTCGATAATAAAGGTGATTGTCCTGAAGGCGGGAAATCTTATTAGTGTTAGACGTTAAGTACTATTATACTTTTAACTTTTCTCCTAATTTTATTCATTTTCATATGTTGTTACGTTACTATTATTGTTATCTACGACTTATCATTATCATAATCATGTTCCTGGTAGACCTAAAGTTATCATTTAACATTGCTGGAATACATAACTGATTACTAATATGTAACTTTATTACATGTATCTATTGTAATTATTGAAGTAATAAATAAGGCAAGAAGGTTATCCACGAATATCGAGTGACTACAGATACAAAAAGACCAAACATGCCTTTATTCTCGAGGGATCATAATTTTGGGGATCCCGAGAACCCCAGGTTATCTTAGGTCCGGGGATACAGAGACAGACGGTATGAAAATCATGCCTGTTTTATCAGTCCTTCTTTTACCGAAAGACGAGGTGCGATGAAAAGAGAGACTGGTAAAACAGGTATGTATGATTATCATACCAATACATGGAAGTACATGGAAGACAATGTAGATGTAAAGATTAAAAATACAAATTGAAAAAAAAAAAAAAATTTATTTGTAAAAAGATGTATTTTTTTTTTGTATATTATATGTCTTTATTGTGTAGCTAATATACACATTAAGCTATTACAAAGTTTCACGAACTATTTCTTCATATCCTACAGATAACACACAATATTATTTATTGTTTTTGATATAAAGTGGAATCTATAATTTGAAGTTTCAACGAATTATTTTATTCTCACTAATAAATGACTGATACGAAATTATTGCGCTTGGACGTTTACAATATTATGTTTCAGTGATCCATAAATATATTTGTTCTTAAAAATGAAGAAAAAAACATATTTTCGCAAACGTAATACATAAATTACTTAAGGTAATCTTTAAAATTGACAGATCGTTGCTTGTACAAGTAAAAATTCTGATACTTTATTCTATTATCTATTACTTTATCATACATTGTTATTTCGATCGAAGTTATGGAAAATGTTAATAACAAATTAATTATAATAATTATAATGTGCAAGAGAAAAATTGTATGATTTTAAATGCTATAGGAACTCGTATGTACAATTTCATAAAACATTTCATTTTAAACATTAATTAACATATAATATTTTCAGTAAGATTCTGTACTGAAGCAAAAATAAATTATAATACTTGTACAGAGCAACAAATGCACTACAGTATACATAGTATTATGTATACTATTCAGAACATACAAGTAAACTATATTTTAGTTTGTAATGTACGATTTTATGTTTAGACAAACATGTAAGTAAAAATAATCGTGCTCGAAGTAATATTATATTATAAAAATGTGTTTGGCATATCACTTACACTTTACACTTGTAAGAAAGCTTTAGGTACATAGAATAATTTTGAAAATAATGGTAAACAAAACTAGAAATTTTTCTTTTACCGAGTAACCGTGATATTCTCGTTATATGTATACTTATGTACGTGAAACCTAAAGCTGTTTCTTATAAACATTGCGTGATCCACAGAAAGTGGATTGAAAAATATATTCTTAACCGTATTCTTTTCCACTTATAAAGAAAAAGCTGTATAGGAGGAAAGGTTAATTAAGATCGTGAATCATTTGAACTAGTAACAGTTGGTAACTGTCTTCAGTCTGATATTATAATCCATGTACCGACACGACCGATGATATTCCTCTATTGTACGAACAAAGAAGCTTTGATTACATGATTCGATGATTCTTTACACTAACTAGTTGGAGGTGGTGGTGGTGGTGGTTGGGCCAACAACGTAGGCAAAGTATTGAGATCAATTCCAGGCGGAGCTGGTGTTTGCTGTTGAGGAGGAGGTGGAACAGGGGCTGCTGGTGGCCAGCCACCCATTTGTTGTGGCTGCCATCCTGGAAATCCCGGTGGTGGAGCTGTTCCAGGTGGAGGTGGGCGCATTGGTCCTTGTTGTCCTTGTTGCCATGGTGGAATACCCATTCCAGGGGGTGGCATTTGTGCTGGTGGCATTTGTCCAGGTGGTGGTGGTTGATTATTTCCAGCCATCCAAGGCATCAACGGTGGAATATTTGGTTGAGTAGTAGAACCAGGTGGTGGTGGAGGTGGTTGCATCACACCAGGTGGAGGAGGCATACTAACTGGAGGTTGCCACTGCATGTTCATACCGTTCATATTGTTTACTTCTCCTTGACTCCATGGTGGTGGAGCCATTCCTGGTGGTGGCATCATTGGGCCACCTTGCATCATTTGAGGTGGTGGATGCGCTGGTGCCGCCATTAAAGCACGAGGTGCTTGTTGTCTGAGGCAAGAAGAAAAATAGTTATGAAGCATCTGTATTATTTATATCATTTGTTTACAATAACTTATAAGAATAAAGATTAAAGGTTACCTATCAAAAAGACCAGGATAATTAGGATTAGGATTTGGTTGTCGTGGCTGCCCGCTTTTAGATCGATCAGGTGGTGGACCTTCACCCAATTCTGCCATAAGAGACATATATTCTTCATCTATTTTAGCTTTATCTCCACCTGGTCCCATTCCTCCCATTCCTGCAGCAGCTGGTCCACCTTGTCCGGGTCTCTTGGATCTACAATCACGCGCAATGTGACCTGCTCCCCCACAGCTTGAGCATACTATATTGTTTGTTACGTTCGGTTTGTCCGGGCACTAAAACAGTTAAGAAAAAAATAAAATTAATTTCTGACATACATAATAGAAAAAATAGTATGATAAGAAATTATGAACTTACTAGCCATGACTTATGATCGGACGCGCCACAATTAGTACAACGTGGTCCATCATTTTCGCGCAATGTTCCATTCAGTAAAGCTAATTCTCTAAGCTGATTGCGTCGTAAATCATTCTGTCCCTCTGGTACTTCTACACCTTGTCGTATAATTTCATGAATCTGTTGACAAAAGTATTTAAAAAATTTTCCTATTTTAACAAGAATTTATAGTTACATTTCACTGTAAATACATACTCTTTCAACAGCTTTCTTTACAGCATCCAAATTATTAGCAGTAATATATGCATGTAAAGGTTCATCTTCACCAGGTAAAGGTTGACCGTCTTTCCTTCCAACTTTTCCCTCTTTTACAGAACCTTTACCACGGATTATAATCTTTGCTCCAGTCTCCTTTTCCATTGCTGTAATATTGAAAAAGGTAATGTAATATTTATATAATATTGCTTCAAGTTAGTTAAACTTACATTTCAATGTGTTTCCACGTGGGCCAATAAGTAGACCAACGAAATTAATATCTGGATGTTCTTCCTGAGGTATCATGACTTTATCATGCACTCGTATTATCGGTGGCCTAGAAATAAAATGTAGTAAGTTTTACACTGTTTACAAACATTACAAAGTATAATAAAATAGGTAATTTCTATGCAAAAGAAAGAAAAAGAAGAAGAAGAAGAAGAAGAAGAAGAAGAAGAAAAAAAAAAAATTAACTTTTACTAACTTATAATCTGGTGGGGGTTTGAATTCTGGATTAATTTTGAGAATCTTCTGAATAAGATTATGACGTTCTTCCTCCAGTTTACGTCTAGTACGATATTCTCGTGTATTCAACCGTTTACCATCGCTACTGTATATGGGTTCTGGAGATGGAGATCTGTAAAACAAAAGAACAAGATTTTGTCAAGAAACAAAGTTTGCATCAAGATGATGCTAGCATACAAGCAACCTGATCCTACTATGATTGTGTGATTAAGTGAAGAAAGAGCTGCTGTTTATTAGCAGAAAGTTGGAAATTAGGATAATATTTTGATCGACTGTTTCAAGTTATTAGGCTTTAGTATGTATTTCACATATATTTCGTGTCTTAATAAGTAGAATTCTGACCATGTTGGAAAAAGAATATTATTCGCAGCGCGATACACTGAAAAAGCATTCCTTGCAAAGTATAAAAATTAAATAATTCACAGAGATTATTTCAAGTGTAATATTTTAATTTTATTTTCTAATTAAAGATAAAGATTGTTACTTGTATCTCACAAAGAAGTGTTTGTTAATACTGAATTAGTCTGATAATGAGTAATGTTATAAAAAGATACATGAATTTCAAATAATAAAATTATCGATTAATTGTAAGATACATTATAACTTTATTGACTAAACAAGAGTCAACCTTCCAAATTTTCCAACAGTGCCAAGGTATCAAAATAAAGAGTAAAAAATTATATAATGTTAAATGCAGCATTGCTATAAGTCTATTCAGTAGGAAACCACTGGAAGACTGCGCGTTTGTGCACGGCAGAAATCGGTATGATGTCAGCTGCTAAGATAGATCCTGTGATTATTAAGAAATAATTTTTTTGGGTTAGTTAATAATTTGTATATCTTACTATACTGTATAATACTAATGAAACACAATGATATAAAATAATGGTTCCAGCTAAAATCAGTACAGTTAAACCTATTGGAATAAATTAATTTATTAGAAAAATTAATATGTATTCATTTAAGTTGCACCTGAAAGTAATGTAATATTGATCTTTACAGTGTTATGCTTATAGTAGCACTTAAAATTTTATCATTTTCAATATTTTCCTGTAATCTGCTGATTAAGTTAAAATCTATTGTAATTAATTCATATAATACTCCTGTAGCATTATAATACCAAAAACAATATGGACTGAAAATGCCGTGCAAATCACGGCAGCCTATTAAGAAAATGTGTCTGTTAAGGTGTTCTATGCATAAATTTCCGTTAATTTATGAAAATTACCAATAAGGATAATTTATAATTATGCAGTATGGTAATTAAGTTGAGCCTACTGACTTAAATAGAATAATCTGCATGAGAACACCTCTGAATTTCCCTACATGTGCAAGAATATAACTATTTGAAAGATATATGGACTAGAATATACCCACTGTGTGTTAAACACTGCTACTGTAATTGTCTTTTTATTTATACGTTATATTTATATACGTTATATACGTTATATACGTTATATATTAAATAATATAGGCAACATTTTTAATTATGGAGAGAATGTTTGAAAGTAATTTTAAAATAAAAGTATTTATTTTTTCAATACTTTCAATTATTAACAATAGCATGCAATCTATTTGATGCCTTAATCTTTTGTTTTATACTATTACATAGTTCTTGTAGCAATGTTTAATAAAAAATGAATTAGTAAAAGAAATTGATTAGGGCAAACCAATATTATCAAAATTCATCTTCTGTGCTGCGTTGAGGCTTAAATCAAGCCCAATCTTTTCAAACAGACATCAGTATCCCACATTAATTGTACTGGAGCCATATCATAAGGCCCCTGTATTTATGGGTTGCTGAATGGTCAGTAGATAGGTATTGTAGATATGTTATGGTCATTTTTGGTATGTAAGTTTCGTTCAAACCTTTCCTCAGGATTAAGTGGAATTCCAAGATCTCCAGTACGTAGTTTCCTGCTGATTTCCTCAATCTGCAGCTGAACTGTAAACCAACGGGTTAGAGGGGGCAGAAACCCCAACAGTTAGATATTGCCAATTTGCCATAACCATACATTCTATAATGTAAGCATGTTTTAAAAGTGTAGAATATTCACCTAAGTCTAAGATTTTGTCAATTTCCAAGGTAAATATTTCAATAAAATTCATGCTTCCATTTATATATTGTTGAAATACATGAACACGTTTAGTGTAGCTTTTTGATGAGTTATCACATAACTCACAATTAAAGAATAAGGTTTAAAAAAAAATTAAATACGCTAAATAAAGTTAATTAAAAAATTTTATATTTATTATGCAGCAAAATTGGCAATTCCTATTGCCAAACTCGCTTGTGCAAAATATTTCAAAGGGCAATTATTACTTGCAGCAACTATTAATTTTAAATAATTCATACATACTTACATCTTTCATAGCACTATAAATTAGGTTTCAGAAATTGAAATGTAGAAGCAAGATTCTTAAATCACTTCCTGCCCATAGATGTATTATATATGTATATATAATAACATAATTAAATCAAATGAATCAAAGAATAAATAAAATAAACTTACAGAGATAAGCCTTCTCCTGTTCAGGAGTCAGGTTAGTTGGTAGAACTGTAGGCATGCCCGGTATAAAAGTTTTGTCATGTTCACTACCGCCCCATCTAGTTTTCCTCCTCTTCCTACGTTCCTCTTTCGTCTCTTTCTCTTGTTTACCATCATCTAAAATATTGTCAGATTATTTATAGCTTTATATATTTATCTATCCATATACTATTACAAATCACAAACATATTTTATATTATTTAAAACAGATAGGTTTAGTATTTAAAGAAGTAAAGAAAGAAAAGAATATTAAACATAATGGAAGCTATTTATACAGAATATTATATAGAAATGTTATTGATCAAAATTAAATACATAAACTGTAAACCGTGTTAAACGATGTATGTATATGATTAACGACTTGTATACATAAAATCAGGTCGCGCAACATGATAATGAAATCAAATCAATGGCGTAACAAGGACAATTAGAAACTTACTTTCTGCTTCACGTTTCCTGGTATTATTTGTTGTAGAATTAGAATTGAAGTTAATCTGTGTTCCATTTGCAATCGCGGCACTCACCGCGGCAGCTGCTGCAGCTGCAGCGGCCGCCGCGTTCGCAGTTGCTGCATTTTGCTGCGCGTTTTGCAAATAACTAGGATTTAATAATGACGTAAAATTTCGTGACTGATTCATTACGTGGAACTTGTCACAGACGTGTAATACGTCGAAATAGATGTGCGCTCAGCGGCGCACAATTGTTTTCTTTTTCTTTTAAGTTGAATAAAAGTTTACACACCACAAAAATGGCGAAGGAATACGACTGACGGAAACCTTTGCTTCTTTCATGGGCGTACCGGACACGGATACTGTCTTCTAGAGTAAAATTAACGAAGAATATTCTCGCTAGTCAGTATTCCGATGAGTTTTGGAATACCTTTGATTTTAACGTAAGATCATCTCTATACGAAAGTAAAAGATAAATTTTAATTAATTGTATGATATTTTAAAATACATAAATATATGTATGTACATAATTATTTACTTTTTTAAAATAAATATGTATTTATATATGTTTTATACGAACTGATTATTGTAAATAACTTAATAAGCGTTCTTAAACCTATCCATATTTGGAGGATAGTAAATACTTCCGTGTTTCTCACTTATAATATGTATTACTATTGTTTCCACCTTTAATCCTCGATTAAAACCTCTTGATCAACATAAAATTATATAGTAATCAATCAGTAGGAATATTTTTCTAGGAGCGCTATATAACGTGAATGCACTTAAATGCAATGGTGCATTTTCGACCTTTCATTGGTTGGTTGTTACAGGTGTTATATATATTTTCAGGTGCATCCCGCTCAGCTATTGGTCACGGCTATCGATGCAACTGTCGAAATGCCAATTTTCTAAATTCATAAATTTCAATTTGTGTTGTTACCATTTGTAGTATAAAACTCGTATTGAACTTGTAGCAAGTTTTAAACAGATAAAATGCGTTTAAATTTTCTCAAGAGTGGAGATAGCAATATATCCGGCTTTATTTGATCAACAATGGAGTCGAAACGTTATCGGATGCTTTGAAACGTGATGTAACTGGATGTAACGTTATGTGTATAACATCGGAGCTTATTGACACCGGCATTGAAACACTGCTAGTGTCTATGTCTGCTGATCGGTCTGATCGTCATGAACGTTGTTTATATCTGATCGTTTGACAGCCGTTTAAAGTTTAGCGTGATGTGCAAAATGGATTATTTTTTATGAGCATGAGAAACGCAGTTTTCACTGATCGTATAAGGTTTTCCGAAGTAAACGAGAATGAAACTACATCGTGATTTCGATGCGTTGCAACGTGGAAGTGCGCTAGCTTAATTATACGTTTCGAATGTTTTCCTCTATTATCTTTAACTGCGAAACTCTACGGGACACTTCGCGGTATAATGGCAGCTCATAAGACAGGCGGGCAAAGTGCCCGAAAGAAAGTACAGGTACTTGTTCGCAATATTCTTTCTCTCTCGAAACATTTTATTAAGTTGTTAATTTTTAAGTAAAATGTTTTAGAGATTAAAAATTAAGTGTTTGTCAAAGTACCATACATATACGATAAATTTCTGCTCATTCTAAATATTTTGACCGTTAAAAAAGAAAGCACACAATTGTCGAACAGTAACGATACATTGATCAATAATATTCCCAATAGCTACCGTTCAATGTTGGATGGAATTATTGATCGATTTCGTTATTATTTTCTTTTAAGAACTTTTTGAAACATTATTGAACCACGTAGTTACGAACGCATGTTTTCAGCGAATAATGTTATAAACAATTTTCCATATTTGTTTGTAAACTTACGAAAGCATATTTTATTAAATTAGTAACACATATCAGTTTAATATACATAAATCGGAAATTTGTTGATAAAGTTTATGAACAATATGTTCATACTGCTTTGGATGTATGTACATATGTATATGATAATTACTTTCGCATTGTATATTTGATAAAGGTGTCTATGGTTATAAGAGATGAAGTGGAAAAAAGACATAGAGCTGGAGTTAATTCCTTACAATACGATCCAGCTTTGCATAGGCTTTATTCTGCAGGTAGAGATAGTATTATAAGGATATGGAATTGTAAAAACATGAAGGACCCGTATATCCAATCGATGGAGCATCATACAGATTGGGTCAACGATATAGTATTATGTTGTGGTGGTAAAAATTGTATGTACCTTTCTATTGCATTTTTGAAATGAATATATTTAAATAAACATATATCATAAGACTGTTCAGTTATTTATGTTTCAAAAAGCAGTTTTATTAAATTTAGAAAAATATAATATTTTACAGTGATATCAGCTAGTTCTGACACAACGGTAAAAGTATGGAATGCCCACAAAGGTTTCTGCATGTCCACGTTAAGGACGCATAAAGATTATGTGAAAGCATTAGCATATGCTAAAGATAGAGAGCAAGTTGCTAGTGCAGGCTTAGATAAATCAATCTTTTTATGGGATGTGAACACGTTAACTGCTCTTACAGCAAGCAACAATACAGTAACAAGTAAGAATGTGTAATCGCTAATAAATTTTTTTTCTTATCTTTTGTTTGAATAGTATTTAAATGCCTCAATACTTTACAGCATCTTCTCTTAGTGGAAATAAAGACTCTATATATAGCCTTGCCATGAATCAGACTGGAACAATTATAGTAAGCGGTAGTACAGAAAAAGTTTTAAGAGTATGGGATCCAAGATATTGTACTAAACTAATGAAACTTCGTGGTCACATGGATAACATTAAAGCATTAGTATTAAATAGAGATGGTACTCAATGTTTGTCTGCTAGTTCAGATGGAACGATTAAACTTTGGTCATTAGGACAACAAAGATGTATTCAGACTTATAGAGTACATAAAGAAGGTGTTTGGGCTTTACTGGTAATGTATAATTCTTTTCTTTTTATAAATACTCTATTGGAACGATTATAGTAAAATAGAACAATAATTTTCAGGCAACTGAAACCTTCAGTCATGTGATATCAGGAGGTAGAGACAAAAGAGTTGTAATGACTGAATTATCCTGTTATCCTGAAAGGTATACTGTCATATGCGAAGAAAAAGCACCTGTACTAAAAATGGCAATGACACCTGATCAGTCCAGCATCTGGGTGGCAACTAGTGAATCTACTATAAATAATTGGGTAATGTTACATTTTTCATTGCATATGAAATAAAATCGAATGATAGCATAAATAACTTTTTAAAACGTATTACAGTCTATAAGCCAAAAGGATTGGCAAGAATTAGGAATTGAAGATTACTGTGACTCTGCTAGTGGGGTAACATCAAATGTGCGAAATACAGAACCTGCACAAAAGATATTAGGAGGACCCGCAATTCGGCAATGTCATGTTTTAAATGATCGAAGACACGTTTTAACAAAAGATACCGAAGAAAATGTAGCTTTGTATGATGTATTAAAGGCGCGTAAAGTTGAAGATCTTGGAAAAGTAGATTTTGAGCAAGAGATAAAAAAAAGAAATAAAATGGTATATGTTCCAAATTGGTTTAGCGTAGATCTTAAAACTGGGGTATGTAATTTTACAATTTCCTCTAACAACGAGAATTATAATATCTGTGATGTTGAAAATGTTCATAATTAATCGCATTCCTGTAGATGTTGACCATTCATTTAGGACAAGATGAAAATGATTGCTTTTCTGCATGGGTTTCTGCAAAAGAAACTGGTCTTGCAGAAAATGAAGCAGTTGATCAGAAAGGTAAAAATATAATTTTTAAAGTATCATTTGTTTGTAGCTTCTTAAAATATTCTCTCTCGTCTTTTTTTTTTGTTTCTTTTTTTATAGTGAATTATGGAAATCTTTTATTACAAGCTTTACTTGAACATTGGTGGAGACCACTGCATGCTGATGATGAAAATGAAGGTAATAGCAATGATGGTAATGGTTCTATACACACAAGGGGAGGAAATCCATATTTTTCAGTACCTACTCATACACCTGTTATATTTAGGTACATAATAATTACTAATACTTTATAAAATCTTTAATTTAATTGTATGTGACAATAATAATAATAACAATAATAAAACTATGACTATATTTTAGTGAAGTAGGAGGAAGACCTTTATACAGATTATTAGTTAGAGATGCCGCAGGAGAAATGGAGGGTGTTCTCCTAAATGAAACAGTACCAGCCTGGGTAGTTAATATTGTTGTGGACAAAAATCTTCCACAATTTACTAAAATATCTTTTTATCTTCTTCCACATGCCACATCTGGTGTAAAAAGTCTTAAAAAGTATGCGATAAATGAATGTTTATAGATTTCATGTGAAAAAATATATATGTGTATCTGATATATAATTAAAAAATATTCTTATTTTTTCAAGGGATCGCTTGATTGCAAACGATTTTATACAAATTCGTAAAGTAGCCGAACATGTTTGCGATAAAGTGCTTGGTGCAGGAAGCGATTCGGGATCAGTGGCTGGTGCTGGAAATACTGTTTCTGGAGGTTCCCCAGCGGGGGATAGAACAAATACAGATTCAAACGCTGATAATTCTTCGCTGGCCGAAGAAAAAGTAGAACTATTATGTAACGATCAAGTTCTAGATCCTTCCATGGATTTAAGAACGGTACGTTTCAAAATTGGGTAACTTATAAAAAAGTATGTAATTACATTACCTTATGATTTCGAAATTTTTAATTATACTTATTTAATGAACATTAGGTCAGACATTTTATCTGGAAAAGTTCGGCGGACTTAACACTTCATTATCGGCCAGTAAAATAGTTAGGGCTTAGTACATCAGAACAGGGATCTCTAAAATGTGCCTGGTTTTTTACTATCGTAAAGTAGGTAAATTTTTATTATTTTTATTTAGCCTTTAAAAATAAAAAAGAAATAAATAAATGTAAAATGAATATATTTCAGAATAACAGGAGATATGTGGACTAATTGCAGAATACGGCACCTTGCGCTATCTCCTTTTCATGAAATGTTCAATCGATTTTCGATGGGTGTTTCATTAGAAGCTGTAACCGAGGACGAATAAAAACCAGGTTACATACAAAGTATTTAAAAGTGAATGTGTTTAAAGGCAATAATGTGTGGAAGTATTAGCATAAATTGTTCGTGTTTGTATATATCCTGTGGCCAAAATCAACCTTACAACATAAAATAGTAATTTCATTTAGTCTGCTTTCAGAAACGTGTGTTTTTTGTATTTAGGTATATAGTATTAAATGCTTACTGTCAGCCATTTATAGTCTTCCCACTTCGAAAGTACCAACGAAAAAAGTTAAGTACAAAATGCTGCATGGTCCAGGAAATTATTAAGTATCATCTTTAAATGCCATGCTCACATTATGCTTCTCAAAGCTTCTGTGTTAATTCTACTTAGTTTTATTTTATAATTTATAAGTAGTACCATTTAACTAACTGGTCGTGTATTCATTCAACAAATGAAATCTGATACGTATGAATAGCTTTCCACACATCTGCCTTGTTATCTTAAAGAAAGGAAGTTATTAAAGGGAAAAGGGAAATGTCAATTTACTACTAATCAAATAATAATTGAGCAGCCAAATTAACAATTGAATATTTCCTATTGATCGTATGGCAAAATAACCATTATATTTGTCTTCGATGTAATAAGATCAAATTCTGCCTTTAGTAAACTTGCATTGATTAAATTTATATTTATTCGATATATGTATGATATAAAAATGTTTCAAATGAGGAGTAAAATATAAATACACTATGGTTGCCGGTTAAATGAGTATAACATCGACAGAATTTGGTCTTAAGAGACAAGTTCAACACATAAAAAAATATGTAGTTAATCGTACTTTAAATATTCACCCTCCTAGAATTCTACAAGTTGTACATATAAATGAGACTGTAAGTAACGTCCCCTGGTTATGGTGATGGGCTGTATAAATAAAATTGAAACAAATATTGTATCAAAAACTAAAGCCTTTACGCCAATTCTATGAATTTGGGATAAACGCTTGACTTTTCTAAAACAAAGAGAGTATACTGTTCTTTATTGATACGGCCCTAAATGTTATAATTTTTGTGTTATTTGAAATAACATAGAAGCAATTTTTTAATAAATTTAGAGATTATTCCATTGTTACATTTTAATATGCTACGTGTTGTATAAGTCTATTTATTTGCTAAGCTTTTGTTACATCTATTTAATAATGTAAACAGATTATTTACTATTGCTTAGGTTTCCTCTTTGTTCATTATTACGTATTCTTCGAGCTCTGTGATAAATTTCTCTTGAGCTAAGAATGCTAATTAAGAGAATGGCTACCAAAAATATTGTACATTTGTAGTTAAGTTTGATTCATTTTTATGTTTGTATATCACCATTATACATATATGTGTATATATATTTTTGCAAAGATCCAGTAGCAGTCATCATTATATTGTGTTTTATAATTTCTCTTGTTTAACTGGAATGTATTTTCTTAAAATGACCCTCGTTATTGCGACAGGAAATCAACACGTGCCTGATCATAGATTATAAGTTGTAGGGGGCATTTCAATTACGAGCTAATCTATTGATCTTTTGAGATAATACAAATTGTAAGTTATGCTGTTACGATGCATAACCATAGAAAATATTTTGTCAGAATCCAATGTTTAGTTATAAATTATAACGTTTTCATTGCATTTATTTTAATAATCCTAGATATGCAACAGGCAGTTGTGAATTAATGAATTCAATGAGATTACACGCTAATTTAGTAATTTCCTCCATAAAGAATCATCTTAGGTACACTTACTTCTTTTATAATATTAAAATTTTTATCTGTTACTTGCATAATGCGATTAAAATTCATAAAGGTTTACTATATTGTTCAGCGATTTCACGTGTAGGTAATGCTGTATTAGTTTTACACACGAGACATGCATTTCATACAGTATTTATAAAAATTATAACTGAGCCTTCCTCACTAAACAAATAACATTGTTCATTAATGGAAGTATTAATATATAATATTGAAAATTCATGAAATTACAGTTTTCAATGTGAGAGTAACTTTAATCAAAAACTAATTATATACACCCTGTGTTTTTAGTAAGGGACAATGTGAACATTTTCAAAATAAAAAAAAAGTTTGTTAATTCTCACATGGATAATGTGAAATGGTGCCAAATTTTATATTTAAAAAAGTTCTTGTAGTGCACCCATTTCTTTTAACTGACTAAGAACTTTTTTCTGTAAACTGGTTTTTACTACTAATTTACTAAGTACAATAGTTTTAATATTTATTGATTAAGATCATGTATATTAGCAGAAATTTAAAATCACAATAATTATTTTCTTGTGGTTTTAGTATGACATAAAAATCGAAAGAAAAAAAAAGGGTAATATCGTCTCGCAAATAGAAATTTCTATGATCAAAAACGAAATGTTGAACTAAGAATTATTTTATTGTAATTTATAAGCATAATTTATTTATACATAGTAACATAATAAAGAAGATTTTCTACAAATTTTCTACATTTTATTACACAATGAGACGATATTCGTGTAATCTTTACAAAATGATCGATTTTCATCCGTTTGTCAATCGATACGTTGAGAAAAAAAATAGGTCATATACTTTATTGCTATTAGGACAGAAAAAAATAATTTGATATGTAACGTTTCATATCATAAATGAAAGGTACAATGTCGATTTCTTTGTAATTACTGTCTACTTTATATTGTAAAATTACTCCAGATTATGTACACCATTACAGAATTATTAATATTTAAATAAAATATCTAATTTAATACGGAATAATTTATATAAATGTATATGTATATAATATTACTGTTAATAACGTAACGTCGTACGTGATATTTAAACTTCATTTTTAAGAATATATTCTACAGCTTCTACAAAAGAGCTGCACACTTTTGTAGGTGGTGGTGTAATTATATTTTCATCTCCTTCTCGGTATTTCCCCGTTTGTACTAAAATACCGCTAATACCAATAGCCTGAGCACCAGCTATATCATCTTTGACATCCTAATTAATGAAATTGTTAAATAATCGGAAACAAGGATGATCAGTGGTACTTACTAATAAATAGCATGTATACATATATAAGAAATATTACATCGCCAATCATAACTGCTTCTTCGGACGGTACATTTTCCAAAGCAGCTTTAAAAAATTCTGCAGTTGGTTTGCCGACAATTTCAGCTTTGACATTGGCAGAATATTCTAAACCGGCGACAAATGCACCCGGTCCTAAGCTTAAACCATCCGCTCTTTTATAATAACATCCTTTATGAATCGCTATAAGTGATGCACCATCTAATAGTAATCTAAAATAATAGATAAATCAATTAGTAAATACTATTATAAAAAATCTGTATATAAAATTCTATTATATCTAAAGTAAATAAGATGCACCTGAATGCTTTATTCAGTTCCTCGTAATGAAATTTATCCGGTGCCAGTCCAACTACTACAGCATTTACTTTGTCATCATTTTTCACCAAATTTTCAAAATCTTCGATTGCAGCGCGATCAATCAATAACATCGGATTCAATTTTCGAGAAACGATTAATTTCCTTGCTGCAGCCAAAGAACTAAAGATCTCCTCTCTTTTAATATCAAAACCAAGTCCCATCAAACGTTTGTGTAAAAAATTGCTGGACTCTTTCGTTGTGTTAGTAACGAATCTGAGTGGTATATTAGCACTTCGAAGCCTGTTATTATATTAATAAAATTGTTTTATATCTTTCCTTACACCATATACTATATATTTTAAAAATTTATATTTATTATAAAAAATAATTTTTTTATATCAGAATAAATTGGGAAATTTATATCTACGCGCCAATAAATGAAACTGCCGTGATGTAGGATGCGCCATGACATTCTGTAATAATTGTGAAATACTTTCATAAGATGAGTAAAGAAAAGCACCTGTTTAAAGCTTCCACGGCACCAGAAATTGCAGTATTATCAATATGCAATGTTCCACTAAGATCTATTAGTACCATTCTTATTTGTTTCGCCATATTTTATAAGATTTGGTAATTGAATCCACGGTTGCTCGCGCAGCTCCGAGTTATAATTCACGTGTCGCACACAAATGTGCACATGTATATATATATATATATATATATATACATATGTTCGTTATGTATACATGTATGCCAAACCGTACGGGTTAATGATTAAAACGTAAAGTTTGCAATTGCACGTGGTTGAGTACATTAAGGATGGCGCTCTCTGTGAAACAGGAAGGCGTAAAACAAGTACCATGGTTTTCGCTGTAAATATTAAAGTTATGAATGGTTCTTTATACTTTGATATTTGTAATTAAAAGCTGTCTTTGTTCTGTAGTACGGAATGGCACGAGGTGTACAAACAAATTTACTCTAATGATGTAAATGAACAAATCAAGGGGTATGAAATGTTACTTACATGGAAAGCAAGGTAATTAAAATATTTATATTCAAGAAAATATCCTGAAATAATAAATACTAATCTTGAGTATTTTAGGATATCAAAGTTACCAGTAGGGGTGGACTGTACTCTTTCAATTATGCAAATCTGTCTTAGAGACCGTGAATGGACTCCCAAGATTAACAATGGAGAGTTACCAATTAGTTATGAAAATGATTTGTGTTTGATGTATTCAACTGTAATAATGAGACTTTTAAATCATATATCTAACATAGGACATACGAAGCAAACATCCTTGTTTCAGATTGCAAAACAGCTCAATATTCCAGAATGGATAGTTAACTTAAGGCATGATACTGCTCATGGATATGAATTACCATCCATTGGTGTATTAAGAATAGCTACAAATATATTGTTAGCTTGGATACATGTATGTTTGTTTATTTATTTATAATAATAGCGTTTTGCTAAAAATATATGCTTAAATATTATATATTTAAAGGAAGAATATTGGGCAAGTGAAATTAAAAGAATGCAGATGTGTCTTAACAATGATGAGTCTATGAAAGAAGCTCAAGAAACTGAAGAGATTCAGGATTTTGACGATTTAATTGAACTTTCAACTGCTGTTAGTTTATATATTCATGCTGGATACCATTTAGTATCTAATATTCCAGATCTTCAATTAAAGTATGTACAATTTTGAACTATTTCAATATAATAGTAATTAGTTTATATTCATTAATCAATTTTATTAATAGGGAAACACTACAAGATTTACGTTCATATGCCATTTCCTTGTCAGAACAAAGTAACGAAGGCACTGATAATGATAAAGATAACTATATAGATGCAGTTAATGATGACATAAAAAAGGATAAAAAGTACACCTTAGAAACTGCAAGAACTGTTCTTTTATCAGAAATATCTAGATATCTTAATAGAAAATCTATTCCTCATAAAAGAGATATAGTTTGCAATGCACTGTTTAATACAGAAGCTTTCTTACCAAGTCAAGATACTTTGTTAATTTTTACTCAAAGAAAAAATACTAGAAATGAATTAGAGGATAATATTTTGCCATTAGATATGATTAAATTTTGGAAAGACATCATTTTTTTATTATACGAAAAGGAAATGATGGAAGAACTAATTTTAGGACTACTGAAATTAACAAATAATGAGGAGATAGATAAATCTAAAAGATTACTAGCTGCTTTATGGATAAGTTCTCTATCTTATTGTTTTCTAAAATTGGATTATGCTCATTGCATATCTCGAACTCTAGAATATCAATTAGAAAAAAAGATGCAGAAAAGATTATCACCAACTATTTTTGAGCTTAAAGTCAAAGAAGAAACGGATCGTACTTATCCACATTTAAAAGATATTCTGTGGTTTAATTTATCAGATGTTGTACCATCTTGTTTAACTGACATAAATTTTATTTCAAAACTTATTTTAAATGCAAATGAGTTTTCTGCTAAATTCATCTCACCTATGTTGGAATTAGTAAGCCCAAAGATAGATAAAGAAAATAAACAATTATTACTAAATTTAGTCAATATTTATACTGTAGGAAAACCAACTGATAATAAAAACATAAAGGAATATGAAAAGACCTTCACTATCGAAGATGTTCAGGGTGACGAACATAAATTAAACGAAAATAACGAAGAAAATAAAACTGAAAATAAAATAATTAATTTCCTAGTTGACAAAAAGATTCGAAATTCTTACTGGAAATTTGCAATTAGTAAGTAATTTATCTTGTTCATTAATCAATGTGAATTACTAGTAAAAATAACATAAAACTGCTTTTAGCAAATTGTAATTGGACTGACTGTCCAATTGGCTTACTTCCTTGGCAACGTGATACCTTGGAAGTTTTAAATCCATTGAAGACTGCATCACAAAAGCATAACGTCTCAATTTTAGAATCTGAAATTGTCCCAGGAATTATTGATCGGAAGGACTTAGAGATGCAAAGCCAAATTAACTGGGATAATGTTTTGAGGAAAAAGAAGCGTATGAAACGGAAACATGAACGGCGGAATGCAGATATTATAGTGAATAGAGCATTGGAGGCTGTAAAAACGCAAAAATAATGTGTTACAGTTTTATTATGCTTTAAGTGTTTTATTTATAATCGGTATGTTCGTGAGAAGTATAAAAATAGAAAATAATTAAACAATATATTTTTGTAATTTACTAAATAAATTAGATAATTGTAAAATTTGTTAGCATAAAGATTTTTTTAACTATTTATTATAAAATTTGTATCGATAAATATAAATTTTTCAATAATTCAGTTAACATTAGATGTAATCTTATTTATAAAACGGAAAAACTGTTTGTACACTTTGTAACAACTATCAACAACATAATATAGGTACTCTATGTATTGATATCCCATAAAACGCTAACTTTAAATAAGTTTATAACGTTTTGTATACATATACAAAAAATTATAAATTAAATTAATTCATACAATATATATTCATAATGTACACGTATGGAAGAATAAAAAATTTTCTTTATCACAAGATATAAAATCTGACCACCCTAACCCATCTTCATTACAAAATAAATATTTGGTATGTAATGAGTTGATTTTTATAACAGAACGCCTAGTTCTAATTTTCTCACAACGTTATCTTGGATTTTAGTGTTTGCATACAACTACTATATTCCAAAACAATGACACGAAAAGATTAAAATGGAACATTCTATTTATATATGTACAAGTGCTGTAAAATTAATATTAGAAAAATTGCGAAGGTTATTGCTCATTTCTTTGGTTACTTTTTCCAATGTATAAGTATACATATAACAAAACATTTATTAAAACAAAATCCAGTATATCTTTGTTCTTATTTCCACAATTAAATTAAAAAGAATAAACTTTTTTATCACTGGTTTTAGTTTTCCTAAGCACTTCGGCAAGATGTCTGGATGATTCAAGACCAAATTGATCTAACGGTATTCGTGACATAACAGCAATTCTATAAGTACGTAAAACAGTTTTATTAAACTGTGATGAATACATCTAATCATAAACGGTCAATAGATTTGCAATCTTTATTACCTTCCTCCAGATATGTTGTATAAAAACTTCCAATAAGACGATCGTAAATGTTGTGGTTCAAGTATTGCTACATGAAAAAGTACTGCTGTACTAAAGCAGTATAAAAAAATTGCAAACCATTTTACTTCAGGTACTATCTTTTTTTCTGAAAGATCATTCCACAATAGCTGAAGAAAAATAGTATGTTAATATTTGATATATTGAAGTAAGAAATTAAAATTATTTGTAAGGTACCTGCAATGCTTTCCACATAAAGTATAAAGCTATTGTATTGCTACTGTAAGCCATAAATGTTATACCACTTATCAGTCCAGCAGGAATCGCAAAATAACAGGAGTCTTTTTGGAAAAATCTCCTTAATAAACAGGACATTAGCTAAAATACATTAAAAATTATTATAATAACGCATAAGAACATAGTATATTATAAGGAAGAACACAACAATACCCTATAAAGTCCAGTAAAACCTCCTAAAAACACAGCCAAGTTTAAATTGTCTCTTTTAAAAATAATTGATTTTAACAATTGTGGTTTTATAAATAATTTTTTGATTTGAAAAAACAAGTTAATTACTAATTGAGCACTGAGAGCATAACTAAAAACTTCCATGCCACCCTGTAAATAAAAATAACATAAATTGGTTTGTGCATTTAAGTATATGCATAATTTTTTTGCTTAACATTTATTAATTTATATACATACCTTCAATATGTAATGAGCACAACTATAAGGATGCGGACAAGATACATGTTTACTTCTAAGTTTTAGTTGTTCAATAATTTTTTTATACACTTCAAGTGATTTCATGAATATATTAAAATTCTTTTTATCAGGCCTTCTACTTATGTCATGCATTTTTGTTGAACTTTGACTATCAGAACAAGATTGTGTTTCAGAATGTGAGCTACTTTTTTTAAGGTACTCAGTTCCTTCGTATGGTCCAATAAGAATTCTAATAAAAAATGTTGACCAATTTAAAACTACTGCTAATTTTGTAGGTAAGTCATAAAAAAAAGTTACAAATACCTAAGTATTCTATATATAGAATCCTGTTTATTTGTTTTAGAACGAAAGAAATAAAGTAACAATGCTATGCTTGTTGCAAAAATATATGTTCCACCCTTTGAGATGGGAGAATAATATCCCCTTGCGATTCCCATTTTAAATAATGTTTCTGTTGCCTGATAAACAGCATTAAAATTTATTAGATGACAAAAGAAGAAATAGCATTCATTATAGTTATTATTATTATTAACATATTTGTTACATAGTTTTTCATAAAGATACAATGATGAAAACAAGATTTTAATGCTAAAACTAATTCACTCACAACATTAGATACATATAAACACAGTAAGGTACGTCGAGAAGGCCTTTCAATCAAAATAGCTGACAAACTAGATAAAAAGGATGGAAGAAATGATACAGTCAAAACATTAAACTTTCCAAGTACTCGCCTGAAATACATAATTTTTCAAGTAAATATAACTGATTATGGTGAAAAGAATCAAGGATAATTATAATTGCTATTTGTTTAACAATTTTATAAGAATATAACTGACTACTCAACAAAGAATATAATTTCATTTAAGTAAAAATAAAATCTTTACAAACCTTAGAGAACAAATAAACATAGAATATGAAAAAGCACTCCACGAGAGAAATGCTGTTGATTGTAAAATACCCAATATTGTCTTTTTAATGTCTTCTTTGGATGGTTTTTTCCCTCTCATTAAAAGTGCAACCTAAAAAAAATAAAAAAAATGAAAAAAATATGAAAACAGGAATAAATGCTAATTTCTCACATGAATATTAATTTGTTATGTTCGAATTACAGAAGAGAATAATATTTTCAATATCATCAGATCAGCTGATAATACCAACCCACCGATACGTGTGTGTGTATGTACGTACATACATATCCATACATAGAAGTGTCAACGCTTGTAATGTAATTTTGCTTATTATTACTTTCTATTATTACAAATCGATATTTGACCAATCATAAATCATGCACAAAAGAAATATGATATTGGATACTTAAATATTGTTGCATAAATCTCGAACCATTGAAATAAATAACAGGGAAGTCTATTTACGTCTACAATATACATTTTCATCGTAATAAATTATATGTATGTACATTTGTGCGCATCAATTACATTGAATCGTTATCAAGAATACGATACAAAAAAGAAAAATGGAATTCGAAATAATCTGTATTGGTATACGTACTATATAAACTGTGGAATATATCCTAAGGCATTCCTGCAAGGTATGCAATCCAAGACCGGCTGTTGCATTAATGCACGAGTCTATCCAAGGATGTGAAAATTCCTTACAGGATATATCAGCAAATTTACTTAATTGAGAAGGCATTCTTTAACAAATGACAATTTCTCTGAACGAGTCCACTGTCTGATCACGTAACGATCAATTGTTCGATGAATGTTGCATAAAAAAAATTATTATAAAATGACACTTGTGTCACTGTTTATTATATACAGACATCGTGGAACATTTTGTTAATATCATTTTCCTAACTGATATACGTTAATTTGTAATTACGCAACACAAACACAAAAATCGACTGATTAACCAACCCCGATTATAAAGGACTATGGACTATCTACTGGTTACAGATATACTAGACGATTAGATATAAAAATGCTTCTGGTTTTGAATTTCGACTTCTTAAGATCATATGCACTTGTGTGATATTGTATGAACACAAAACCCTACGATACAAAGAAATTAACCATCCGGACTCGTCGACCGCTCATCACTGACTGAATATTGACTGAAGTGGGGTTACAGGATCAAAAATCACTGCTGAATGTCGCACGACTTGTCACACTTCTATATGTCACATATGTAAATATTTCTTTGAAATAGGCTATTGCAGTTCTGAAACATTTTAAATTTTAATGATAAAATTTGAATACACATATGTATTGTTATCGCTACGTGCGATATATACTTTACAGCTAATTATTATAATAATTCATGCTGCCATAATTTAACATATTGGATTAGAAATGTTATAAATTGGCAAGATTTATTCTGATACATAATAAAATTTGTATCTTAGCGACTATTAAAAAATTATAATTTAAATTTATATTTTCTATTTGTATATAATGTACTTACAAGATGTTTGTACTTTATGCAACTTTCTAATTTCACTTCTGATGTACCGTTATCGTGAACCTACTTGATGTGAAAGCGTACTGAACTTCTCTGATGAAAGTTGATCTCAAAGGTAGCCGATCGGTCATAGCATTAACCATCATTTGGACGTTAATAAGTATTATTTAAAAAAAGATATAATCCATAAAAAAATTTCGTAAAAAGAGATACGTTAGTATTACCTGCTGTCGGTATTACCCATCGTCGATATTACCTACTGTCGGCATTCTCCATCGTCGGTATTGCCCATCGTCGGTATAATTGTCGCGTACTTTATCGGCGTCAACAATTGCTGATACAATCCGCTCAATTTTTCCGAAATAGCCACAGTTTTATTAATTAATATATAAAGAACACTAATTTAATGGGTGAAACTTTCCTATATTATATAGTGACTCATCCCGCATCCGATGTAATAGTTTAAAGAAAGTCTATGGGTCACACATTTTAGCTTCGGGGTTCCTGACACCCCGATATCATAATGTCGGTATACAGTGTCACTGATGCTTCGGGGTCCCTGATACCCCATGATGATGTCAGGTCGGTATGCATAGAGCACCACCAGTGCTTCGGGGTCCGTGATACCCCATGATGAAATCAGGCCCGTACGTAGAGGGCACAACCATTATAATATTCATCCTCTAATTTCTTTCCGGAGTTTATTTAATTTACTTTATTTATTAAATAAGCTCATCGAAGGGGAATAATATTTATGATTGTATCCCTATTCTGGGCCTCGGCCGAGGACCCCTTTTATTTCACTTTTTCCAGTTATTTATATAATTTTATCCCTCTTTACAGACCAAGGTCACCCCTTTCAGTTATTAATTATTTTATCCTTCTTTATGGGCCACAACCCACGCCCTCATAATTATTTATTATCCTACTCCTCTTTATGGACCAAGGACTCCCTTGGCAAATACTTATTTCTTCATTCTTTTTATGAGCCTCGCGGGGACTACCACTAAATCACTGGATCTCCGTATCCCTTGTTTTATCAATAAATTAATAAATAACTGGTATTCATAAAGAAAGAAACTGTCACTAAGAAAAAAAAAAATACGTTAGAAACCAAGGATTTAAACCGTAGACCTCTATAACCGTTTTTATGTGCGAGTTTGTTATACTTCAGAATGTAAGGAGTAACTAACTTCCAAAATGGGGTATAGGCGTATTCAGCTTGACGAGCTCTACAAGGTGGCAGAGTTTCATTAATAAGTGAGCGTAATATTTGGGTAGTTCCTCTCGTTAGTATAAATACGACGCTATACCTGGCTGTAATTTCAGATCCTATTCGTTAGACTTGGAAATATGTATGTACGTACACTGTATCAGATAAGGGGTGACACAATTATGAGTGGATTGTGATTGGCCGCAACCGAATAGGTAGTTTTCCGCGTCTGATGAACAGGAACCATCAGTCGAGTATTTCAGCACCTTGTGATAACTCACGTTGGTATATAAGGGCAGTCAGAAAAGCAAGGTGTATTAAACATCGAGGCATAATCAAGGCAACTGCAATTATACATATAGTGAGATATCGTTGCATCAGAATTATATAGAAACATTGAAGAGCATTTTGTGAAGCATGTAAATCGCGTAAGTGTCTTATTGTTAGACAAAATATCAATTTGAATGACGATTATGAATCTATATTACACGAACAAGAATTTTACTGGATAACGAGATAAATCAACGTATTTTGGGATGAATGGTCCTTAGATTAACGTTATTTTTACTTTCAGCAGTTCATCCTTGAGTACCGTTAATTGAAATCGCAACAAAGCTTCGCATCCATTGTTTCAAATTATACTTCGGACGTCTGTAAAAGAAAAAAAGAAAAATACAGACGAAATAATCGGAAAATGACTGCAGGATTGAAGACAATGGAGTTATTACGATTAGGACGACGAGTTCGTCGACGTTTAAACGCACGAAATGGTGAGTAATCGAAAGGCAAATATTGTTTCCATTGAATTCGAATCGCGATATCATCAAATGATCCTTGATAACACACCAAACATCAGTTCGTTTAATCAATCGCCTATGAGTTTTCGCACGCGATACTATTTATACCGTATTATTGTCACGTTCGCTCGTAATTGAATCGGAATATAAATTTTCGTTTGAACTTTTAAAATTTTAATTCATTTCATTTTCATACTTTCCACCCAAAAAAAAGCAAAGCTTCGTAGATGAGGACTAACAGGTGTTAAGTAGAATTAGTCCTTGATTTCGCAATTCTTTTAAACGACTCTATACATGTAAGGAGAATTCATCAAGCGTCCCCTTTAGATTTTAATGAGCTTTTACATGTTGATAATAGATCCTTCTACATATACTTGCATATACTCCATAGTGGTGTATGCTAGAACGAACGAAATTGCTTCCGAAACCTCGTTCGTTACACGTTCAAGATACAAAATTTAGGAAAAAATTAATAAAAATAATAAGTCTAAATAATTTACCTACATGATCCTTTTTTATGCATAGTCAATAAAAGACGAGAATAGTTAAAAACAAGAGATTAGCACGTTTGCTGCGGACGTCGCAGATCCGTGTCGGCTGCATATCGTGCATATCTTGGCAATATTCCTACAAAGCGAGCCACACTTAATTAATTTATATTATTAATATCATTTTATTCGCCCAGCAAATGTCCATGGCTTCAATTCACAGCGAACATGTTAACAGATGTTTCTGATTTCACGGACCTAAAAAAATCATTTGCATAGATAATAGTCAAATAATTTATATTTTATGCTATATTATTGCTGAAATTCGAGTACTATCTAGTATTACTTCACTTGTTGAATAAAGCACATGCGCACATACACGCACTGACAATTCAAACACACGTTATATGCGTTTTACACATTCATAAAATTAGCAGTAAATGTCATCCAACTTGGTTTGAGAATGAAAACATTAATATGGCGCCATAGAGTATACAATTTAAAACCTTTATCAATGTTATGCAAGTTTACCGTTGTTAAATAAGACTATTATTAAACTGGTCAAATTAGTTTGAGGATTACCTGTTCATGTCATTTTATCATTTGTTTACGAAGGTATCGTATCGTTTGATGGTTGAAACACTCTATTATACTATACTATACATATGTATATGTTCCATTACTGATGTTCAGCTCATTCTTCCCAGTTATGAAAACAGATAATTGCGTCATTGTTTTGACCGATGCAAGTTTTATTTTTCAAGAAGAAGGATAAAAGCTTCTCGCCTTTTCTATTCATTCAAAGATTATCGTTTAGTGGAATGAATATTCATCTGTTTTTTACCGTGTATGTACATACATACATACATACATACATACATACAGGTAAATCGTTCATTTTCCAGATTTTCCGCTGAAGAGTCTTGTTAATAAACGTTTGTTGCGTGACCTAGTTTCTCTTCGATCTATCCCTCTGTTCATCTCACAGTGTGATCTTGATATGACCTTAAACTTCACAATAAGAAGAAAATAGAATCATTCGACTTCGAGTTTAAAAATATTAGGCCATCACGGCGCGACGTGCCCCGCAAAAACGAATTAAGCGTAATCGATCATTTTTTACCGATTTTTTTTCATTGTCGATAAAATAAAATGTTATCATAGGCAACAATTATTATTGACTCACCCTGCATAACGGGCTGTATAATTGTTTACTAAAAGCATACCGCAAACAATTTTGTTTCCTGCAATTTAAAGCATTTCCTGCTGTTACAATAAATCATACCTTTTCATATTTCTTTCTTGAAACGATAGAAACGTTTAATAATTCACAGGCGAAACCGCGAAATTGTAGAGACGGTTTAGTACGCGCGTTCTTTGTGGTAAGTGCGTTATGAACGTACATACATATAGGCGAGGACCTTATCTCGAGTACGATTACATAAAAAGAAAAAACTATTGAAATCGTTTCTTCGTCGAGAGAGATGAACGAGAATTATAGTACCGATTTACTTGTAAATATCGCGAACGAACGGTATCCGACTGTCTTTGTGCAGCGCAAATTCGAAACTTTTCGAAACTTTTCTCTCTCAATATCGTTACTCCTATACTTGTTACGTACTCGACAGTTCTTCGAGTTTCATAGTTGCTAAAACATTAGAGAAAAAAGAAAAATACGGTAAGAACTGTGTAAGATTAAAATTGTTTTCGAACCATATTGTAATATTATACCTACATACATCTTTTTGCAAGTATCAATAATAATCTATTTTTTTATAGTGAGCGATCAACTTCTCGCTGACGGCGAAGAGAAAAGAAAAAGGATCTCCTTGAACATTGACACGAAGATGTTGAAAATTGGATTTTTGGGTGGTGGAAAAATGGCCCAAGCTTTGGCCAAAGGTTTCATTCGAGCAGGTACAAAACAAACACGTATCCTCGATGCCATTGATACTATCATTTTAAGTTTCAAGAGAACTATGCTGTACCAGGGCGTTCCACGTGCTTAATTAATAAAAGAAATTATTACTTATAATTTGCAGGATTAAGTAAAGGTGATATGATGCTGGCCAGCTGTCTTCCAAACGACATGGGTAGCATAGAAGCGTTTAAGGTGAGTCGAATTTCTCCTTTTACCAACGTGTCAATAATTCTTCTTGTTATGTCGGCACAACTTTTCACTCTTGCATCCTGATAAAAGATAATAGATAAATAAATAATCTTAGCGTTATCAGTTTTAGCATTTGCTGTGAAAAAAAAAGAAAAACAGCAAAACAATAAATATATTTTGTTTGTTCGGTAAATAAATATAAAAGTTGTGAACCAGTTTAGTAAATAATAAGTAATAATAAGTTTGATCGTTTGTTTCGAGTTGAATAACTATTAACATAAAAAGCTGAAAACAGCTTTTGGCAAGTTTAATTAACAATCATTATTGTATCGGTAATAATATCGATCAGTGGTTTACAGATATTGTACCTCGATATTCGATCGATCTTTAAATCCTTTATTACTTAATCTAAACTGATTGCTCGATAACGTTCTTGCTTTTGAGATCGTATGTACAACTTGAATCGTAATATTAATTGCTTATAAACTTCGCATCAATTGTTATTTCTCGGTCATTATCGGGTCTAGGAAAATTTCCAATATCGTGTGCCTTATCTTTGTTTCACGATAACTCTATGGAAAACATTGCAACTCTGGAGTTTAGTTTACCTCAAATTTTTACATTTACCAATGCGTTTTTATTGGATATCTTGACAGTAATTATCATAGATCTTATTATTTTTCTTATTATTGTCCTTCATTGTAATTCCAGGAAATAGGATCAAACACTGTACATTCGAATGGACCCGTCGTTGATCACGGTGATGTTCTAATTTTATCGGTAAAACCACAAGTGGTTCCGAAAGTTCTTCCAGATTTAAAAAATTATAGGAAACTTTTACTGTCTATTGCTATGGGTATTCCGCTGTCAACACTGGAGAAGGTGAGATTGTAAAATTTGAACAAGTAAATTGCAGTAATTATGAGATTAGGATGGCTTACGTTGTGTACAAGATTTATCGTCAGGCGTCGTTTTATTACTGAAACGTTTAATTTTAACTTAGGCTCTTCCGCAAGGAACGCCAGTGATAAGGGTGATGCCCAACACCCCAGCCCTTGTGGGCTGTGGTGCAACTGTATATGCACGTGGAAAATCTGCTGGCGATAAAGAGGCTGAAATAGCAGAAAAGCTGTTTTCTGCTGTTGGTTTCTGCGAAGAAGTTCCTGAAAATGTAATTGATCCTGTCACTGCTTTAGCTGGCTCTGGACCTGCATATGTAAATTTGTACACAATTTGTTAATGTATATTTATAAATCATTGACATATTTAAATTGAAAGATAAATATAAAAATTATTCTCTTATTCAGGTATACATGATGATAGAAGCTTTAGCCGATGGAGGTGTAAAAATGGGCTTGATGAGGCATACAGCGTATAAATTAGCCGCCCAGACTGTGCTTGGAGCTGCTACCATGGTGCGAGACACGAATACCCATCCAGGACAATTGAAAGATGATGTAGCTTCACCAGCAGGTTTGAGGAGAATGAATTTTATATTATCCGAAATATTTCTCACTCTCTTAACATCTTTTTACTTATCAATTATTCCTTTCTACCTCTTTCAGGGTCTACCATAACGGGAATTCATTACTTAGAACAGCATGGTTTGAGATCAGCAGTAATCGGAGCAGTTGAAGCGGCAACGAAACGATGTAAAGAAGTTAGTTCATCTTCAGAAGAAAGACAGGATTAATGATAATGGAACTGAAATTCAATAACAGGTAAAAAAGCTGTACTGTAGTCAGTTAAAGTTATCAAAAGGAAATTGAACCGTGAAGATAATACGCTTTAACATAACACGTCCACGTTTAATTCTGCAAGTTTCTATTATGCATAGTCTATAATTTTTTTTTTTTAATATTTTGTATATTTTGTACATAATTCTTTTAAATTACTAAACACTAAAAAACTATGATTTACTGTACATTCAATGCGTAGCAATTAAAAATATAGATCTGTTATTTTTTTGACAATAGCATATTTTATAATGAATGTTACAGTATATAAAAATATATGTAAATATGTTTTGTATTTAACATTTGTATATTTATGCTTTAGCATAAAACGTGTAATTATATTTGGAAATTCGTTCAAAGAACATTTCATAATTATAAACTTTAAAAAGACTACAGAAAATATAATACAACATATAGACTAAAAAATATAATATATACACTAGCATATTGTAATCGACAAAAAACTATGTGTCATTTTGTACTCCTATTTTGAATAGATTTTAATTAGCACACATTGTGTCAAATATATTGTTATGTAATAACGTTATTTGATACTATTCACTGAATACTGTTTTATATCAAATTTAAAATGTCGAACTTAATATTAAAATTGGTAATGTTAAACGTAAATACTTGTAAACATTTCTATATGAAATGTATGGCAACATTGAAAATGAAGAATTTTTCATTATACAAAAAAAAAAAAAAAATAATGGAATTATTTACTGGTTATAATCGTCTGGTTTTAAATAATACCTGGTAACTGTTTGCCATCTTTAGATTCTTCTCGTTCAAAACCAAGATTAAATTCCGTCTTAAACATTTCCCTGTAATAACTTTCCTTAACTATGTCACTTTCGAAAACGCCTTCTTCTTTACACTTTAACACATAAAGTTTATGCATAGCGGCTATACTTAATCTAGAGTCTAGATATCCTTTTTCTATACGATTTTTTGGATTTATCAATTTTTCCGTTGGAAATGATCTAATATGTTCGCGCACTCTATCCTTAACACTTTCGCTCTTTTTTGTTTTTGGTATATGCTTTCCTCTTTGGTCTGGCCCTATAATTCCTCCAGGAGATATCCTTTTTTTCTCCATTACGTGTCGCACAAATTTCTCAGACACTGAAAAAGTACTCAGGAACATGCACTTACACACTGTGATAAACTCTCCTTTTAATAAAAGAGAGTAAGTGAAAGTAACTTGTCTACGATGTTCCGATTTAACATTTCCGCGACACCGAGTTCGTTGCTTTGGAGATTCCTTGACTAATAATGCAACATATTGTTTTCGTTGTTCCCAGCTGCATGTTTTCCAAAAAACATTATGCAACTCTTCTCGAGATACTTCATCAATTTTTTCGGTACAACGTATGCGACATTTACAAGGTGGCCCCATGGTTTTTGCTGGTACTATTTTTCCTATGAATTATTAAGTTTCACACGTAAGTCTGTGTCTTTGAATTTTCAGATTTCTTCTAAATAAATTAATCAAAATTACCTCCAACTCCAATGTATTCTTCACCTCTTAGTCTAGCATTCTTTTTCACATTTACTTTCCACATTTCTGGATTTTTTGTACGTTTTAAAGGTTCTCTACATACCTTCATTGTTTTTGATTTTTTTAATTGTTTAGATTTCATAGCTTTTGTTGAGTTTAACTCTACCTCTTCTAATTGATCTGATAACTGAGCACTTATGCAGTGATCTGAAAGAGAATAAATAAAGATTTACAATGTTAAACTATACCACAACCGATAAAAGTTTCCTCATCATTGTTTCTTACTCATTAATGAGCAATTTGATGAACGAGCTATTTCCGGTTGATATTCGGATTGCATTACTATATTTGTGATCGATGAATCTCTCCACCATTGAATATTTGTCGATATACCAACTGGAACACCTACTGAAATTACAATAAAAGTAACAGTACATAAACAATTAAACCCTCTATGCACAAAGCTATATTTTATCCCTTCCCTACTTGCCTATATTATTCTGATATTTATAATAAGGTGTCTCAGATGATAATGGCTGTTCTTGATTTATGTTTAAATTTTGTTCGTTGAACCAAGGTTCTGTTTCTTTTCTTATCATCTGATCATCCTGACTATGGTTATTTATTATCATCATACTTTGCTCCATTTTGTTATTTATTTTAACTGCATTATTTGCATCTTGTATATCGAGATAATTATTTAAAACATTTAACTTTAAATTCGAGGCAGTACATTTTATCTCTTTTCACATTACTTTTCTGTTAATTATATACATATGTCAAAATATATATATCAACTTTTTTGCTTTACACTTATTTGATTACATTTCAGGTTAGGCTGCATTTCCTTGTTTTAAAACCATATGTCACCTAATAATACACCATTTCATCTCATAGCTTTCAACATCAAAATACAAGCGCATTGCAAAAAATTTTTAAATTTTTATCTTAATAAATTACACCTATTCTATTTTCCAGAAAATATAATTAAATGTAAAAATGTTAAATATGTTTCTTAGGATCGTATGTTATATGTATAGATAAAATTAAAAATAGGTAGATTTAAACAAAAGGGGGCGACACAATGTATTAAAAAGTCTTCCAATCACATGCTGTTTTACTAATTTAAAATCATGTTATGGCGGTCAGTTTCGAATTCTTGTGTTAATTCATAAACAATAAAAAGTGGTACAGAAAGCACTGATGATTTACATTAAATTAGTTACAAACGTAAAAATGTATCGTTTATTTGTTGTTTTCTTAAAAGAGAAAGCAATAAATATATAATGGTAAAAAATAGCGCAGAGATTCGAAATGAATGTTTGTTAGTTCAAATTTGAAATTCTCGGAATGCCGATAGGTGGCAGCACGCGACAGTATTATGAACGGATTTGACAGTAGAAAATTTGATCCGAAACGTTCGACAAGTGGCGTTCGGTGTTAAAAGTGTAATGTGCGGTACGTGTAAACAAAAGTGTGTGGAGTTTGTGCAAAATGTTGAGCGAAGATGACGCACGTCTGTAATAAATGTTAACCTCGTTAAACAACTTTGTGGACGTCGGTTTCAAGGAGTATTTCTGTTACCGTCCGAACGATCAGACATTACAACTTGCAGTTTGGGTGAGTGTCTTTTAGGTTACGTATTGAATTGTTTTAACTCTAATCTTGTTTATTTCAATGATTTATCACATCCGTACTGTTTGGTATCATTAGAAATCCACTTCGTTCATACAATTTGGTCAGTAATCACATTGTAAACTAGAAACTGAAATACCTTCTTATGTCTGTCATTGTCATTTGCTTTTTCAATTATCACCTAACTTTCTTGACACGCGAAGATACGTGCTCAGCATTAACCTTGAAAGACAAATTTGTTAATAAGTATACGTTTTCGAAAATGATTTTGGTGACATCACGTATATCTTGCCGATAAAAAATAAGTTTTATCTATATAGCTTGGAACATTTATATGTAATAGTTTTTATTGTTAACACACGAAAAGTTTGCACTTATTTTATTTCAGTACCATTTATACATTCATAAGCGTTACGTTTTTATTGGTCAGCACAATTAATTTAGATGTACTTACATAAATTTTATCGATTTAATTGCATATACATATTTGTAGTTAAGTAATTGCCATTAACACGTGTGTTTTATGTACAATTCTTATGTACATACATAGATCTCTATTACTACTAACAAATAATTTTGATAATTAGATTATGGGGGGGCTAAAGGTTGTTTACGTTAAAAGAAGAAAATATTAGCAGACCTTCGATAGCTCAGTTGGTAGAGCGGTGGACTGTAGTTGGTTCGTTTGTTGTAGAGACATCCATAGGTCGCTGGTTCGAATCCGGCTCGAAGGAATTCTTTTTAATTTTTCAAAGTTTCATTTTTATCGCTATTATTTAATTCATAATGTTTGCTTTTTTTTCGTAATTATAAGATATTAATTTTAATTAAATTGTACTGTAATATAGCATAATGAAATCATAAAAATAGCGAGTATTTGTTTATGGTATTAAGGAAAAATGTTGTGTCCACATTCTTTTCAATATTTCTTTTTTTTTTTTTCATTTTGTTAATCTCGATATGATTAGTTATTGCTCTTTTTGTTGCATCAAATACTTGCTGCCCTCTGGAAGTGCAGTTGTATATTATACATAAAACACGTGTTCTTGATGATAACGTAGTTTGTCTAACGATATTTATTAACGACATAATTAATACATAATTAGATGGATTTAAAAATGAAGTAATGAAATATAAGTATCGAAAAAAAGCATAGAATGTGAAGATTCGCAGAAAACAGGATATAAATCTTTTCTAATCGTAAGTTCGAAATAATCGGTCTTCAATTAATTTTTCAACGGAAGGTAGCAAGTTGATCGAGGTGAATAGTGAATGGTGAATGGTGAAGTAAAAAGAAATCAATCTGCCGTCCAATATCGCGAGCGGATCGTTCGCGAAACGCGCGTTGTTGATATCAGTGTGCGATGGGCTCACGTTAATTTATCGTCTCTCAGCTCTAATCGTCCTTCGTAATTTATTACTAGTCTGTTAATATTTATTGGTGGCCCGGCCGGGTGTATTGTAGCCACGAAATTGCTTATATTGTTGCCTGTTCGCTTGATCGCAATAAATTATTTGCCCGCTGAAGGTGCGATATCTGACGTGTATCCGATAGATTGCAATTGTAGACGAATAGGATTTGATGATGCTTCATATTAGTACGACAAAGTCTTACAATACATAGATATTTGTATTCTTTCGATCGAATTCTTATGATTGATGGGAAAATAATATGGTGATTTGACGATGTATGTTCTATGAATCTATTATAATTGAATAATATATTATAAAGAATTGAAGGAACGTAGACGGTCGAGATGGCATCTTCTGTCCTGAATCACAATCACGTGGAAATCAATCCCTAACAGATAACGGCTCTTCTACCACAATAACCAGAATCAGGATTAGATAATGGACGAATCGTTTCGCGCCGAGTTCGACGATTCGCTCGTTCAAATGTTTGTCTAGAATTTCGATGCTGGCCAATTGTTCGGGCAACGACGCAACGCGACGGGCGTAACTTCTCGTCATTTGAATAACAATAATCGCGATTGCGTGTCGCCTAGCGAAATATCTACATATGTACTCGTTCATCGATACAACTCTGCTGGATACAATTGAGAAATATCTGAAAAATAAGATAAAGAAATGAAAGTATTCCTCGTAGCGATTACGCTTAACACAGGTGATTATGTTTTCAGTAGGTGTCTAAGCAATTGTTTGCCAATGAAATATTTTCATAATTTCGCTGCGTTAGCACGCTTTTGTTCGGTGGTTGGAATTAATTTCGACCAGGTGGTCGTGGAATTTCGTGGAAATTAAAACGGACCCGTGTTTTCCTATGAATTATTAATTATTCACGCGTTAAACCATGCTCGCACGGATGAAATCGTGCGACACGTGGAAATTTGCGTTTCGAATAAGCGAGAAGGAAAGATTTTGATCAAAATGGTTTCGCTCGATTCGGTAGGGATATACCAACTAAAATGTAATTGTTAAATGTAATCGTTTCAATTAGTTAAATAATGAAAATTTTCGGAGGCGAACATGAATGTCCAGTAGTAGAGTAGAAGGTGGAAAAGGAGAAACTTGGACAGGATCAATATTGGCTGGACCTGGTATTTGTTTGGGACGCGACTCAGAAGCGGATTGCACGTGAACACGTCGCGACGCGGCGCGACGCGGCGACGGAATGAAGCGGGGAGGTTGGTATCCGATCGATTCGGGATTGGAGCTCTTTCATTAAATCGAAAAACGTCTTTCCTCGGTCGTGAAACGTCTCGAACGATAGTGAACGAGCGAGATTTGAACAAAGTATTTACTGCGACTTGTAGATAGATATTTTGAGCGAAGGGAGAAATTGATAGGGATCTTGATTAAAATTAGGAAGTTGCTGGAAACTGGGTGTAACACAGCACGCTTTCGACAATCGTTTCGGCTCGTCGTTCGCGATTTGCATAACAGTAAAGTTATTTCAGACACGGGGACACGTAACACGCGGTCGTTGCTTAGGCAATTTCATTAACCGCGAATCTACTTCCGGCGAGGTTCCTCTTCTCGAGGAACGCGATACAACCTGGAGAATTGCGTCACTGATCACTTACGTTACAGCTTCTTTTCAAATATCGTCAAACATCGTTGCTGATGTTTCCCGAGCGTGTCTCTGCTTCAGCGAATAATGGATGGACGTTTCATTTCGTTTTCATTTCGTGAGAATCTGCGCTTCGTTGCTTGAACGGTTAATTACCGTGCACAGGTATCTAATTCTTTCATTTGATTACCAGCAAAAAGAAGTTGCTCAATTTGGAAATGGCAATTATTTGAAAGACAATTAGTTCATTACTTTTAGTTCAGTTTACATTGGTCGGACAGTGGAGTTCTAGATCCTAGATCCTAGAGTTTAGTTATTCCATGCAAGATAAATGTAAATCAGTATATTTCAGTAAATTACGGTTTCAATCTATTTCATATAAATGGAATAGTGAAATTTCTTTCGAGTCGATTCAAATGTATTCTCTGGCGTTATCGATGTACCGATCAAGTACAAGTGTACATACATACAGCTATGCTTTTTGAGCAGAACAGTCACGTATTCGACAGATATCCAGCTGTTTTTGATTCGTCGTGACTAGAAAGGTCAGCTGGAATAAGCGTATCTTGTACTATCACGGATCTCGACAAAGCAACGAGATTGTTAGACATTCTATTTCCTTCGTGTCGTCTGTAACGGTGACGCCAAGCTTTATTACGATTTCATGGAGGATGGAAAATCACTTTGCTTGAACATCGTGTCGTGTCAGGATATCGACGTATGATAAGCATTGTAAATTTACTTTACTTCTTACTGATAAGGGGAAGTCTATTAAACGATAATTTCAGAATCATGACACACCAATTCTAGAAATTTTAGTAGGTAAAAAGTTTTTCAATTCGTTTCTAAAGTTTTCCAACAAGTTCGTAAAGTCGAAAAAATTCGATATATTAAAAATTGTGAAAAAGTTAGAAATCATTCGAAAATGACAGAAATGTTTTGTTTGATTTCGATCGAAGTGGGAAGTACATACAGCTACTTGAAGATTCAATGAGCAAGTACTTAAACCGTGAAATACCGATAAATCGAAAGTATTCGTGCAACTATTCTTGGCACAAAGAAGCTGATGATCTCCGTCTCAGCGAGCAATAAAGATGGCAATGCAGAACCTTCCAACCGTGTTGAGATATTTCTGCTATTCAGCGCGAAGTTTCGTGAAAAATAAACATTTCTTCTCTATTTCTCGATCTTTTGCTTTTATCTATGTATGTAGCTTCGCTGGAATCGGCAATGTTACGAGAGACGACTCATTCCCAACTCGTGTTACTCAATCGTAAGGTTTATTAATGAATAGCCTGAATGGAATCGAAGATGAATTGGTCGAAAGGCAATTTTCTTCTAATTTTCTTCGATTTTGTTCGAGTTAATTACATGTTTCGTCGATAATTGCACAGGAGATTGCAGAATAACCAGGGCAAGATAACGCGTGTACGCAGGAGATACATTCGAGCAGATTTCAAGAACAAATGGGCCAATTCCCAGGTAGGTCATAGGTTGCCCTATCTACAGGTGTGTCCTTGTTCCACGTTTCATGTTCGTCTTGGGACGCGTAGCTACGTGTACGCGTTCAACCCCTGACAGATAATTACAATGATGCAACCGGTAGATACGTTTTACAAAAGCACATTTTCGACTATCCAATTATTCAGTCTTCGACGATAAGACAGTGGGTACTCGCAGCCGGAGATTTACTATAGATATGATAAAATGTTAATTAGAAAGCAGATATGTAGGTAGTTGCATTCGAATTTTCAGCTTAAATTGCAAATTTCGAATCCTGTATCTTCTATGGTACATATATGAAACCTAAAATTCAATAGAAAACACGTAGGGTAACAGAGTCCTGAAAAAAATTCGCCCAAAAGCGAAAAGAGTCTCTTTTGTCGTTCTCCTGGAGAAGCTAATTACCATCTTGTCGAGGTTTCGTTCAATGAAATTCAATGAAATTCAATGA